AGCATTTAATAGCATCTGACCTTATTAATTCCCATTTTTGTTATATATTCATTGACAGTAACTGTCACAGCTTCCCCTTAAGAACCAGAATTTCCACAAGATTTCTCTTCTGATCAACGAACTTTGGTGATTGAGGGGTACACCTAGCAGCTGTCAACTTTTACTTTGATAATGCAGAAGCAGAACCAGTAAATCCAAAAAGGACAGCAATAGAAATAACGATTAAGCTTTGTAGCCCAGGAAGCAGTGCTCTTGCAAAATATGACCTTTCCTTAGCTACTGTCTTTCTTTAGCCGTCATAAGAGTTCAAATGTGACTCATAAATATATGCTAAAGACCAGTCATATTAATCCCTAATTAGATATCAATAGAAATTTATTCAAGTTCATCCAATTAAGAAAGCAATGGTACTGTCTGTATTACTGATAGAACATCCAGGTTTTCCGATATTCTATCCCTTTACCACAAAGGCCCCTAATTCAAACATTCTGTCTTTTTATTAGCCAGAAAAAAAAAGGTTTTAATTTTTTTCATTAATTACCTTTTTTAACTCTGACCACATTACCTATATGATAAGGAAGACCCTAAAAGTAAATGCACAAATACTGCAGGGAGGGTGGAGGAGGGTAGCAATTCACTGTCTTTTGGGAATTCAAGTTGGGATCCGGGCCACAATCTCTCTTTGATTTTGCACAGTGCTTTCAGACCTGCCGTTAATATCTTCTACTTCTCAAGCCAGGTAAGCCCGGGAGAACTGCATAGTACATTCAGCTCTAGAAAAAAGAGATTTCCTTGCATCACTACTATAAAACACTTTGCAGCTGAGCTAAGCCAAGCTGTGAACCACACAGCTGCATTCACCGAAACTCAGCCCATCAGAAGGACTCCAAGACGCAAACTGAAGGTGAAAATCTTACACTTATGGGTAAACCTCTCACAGGCACCCATCTGGGGATATATTTTGCTACCTCTAAGTCTTGTAATTCTTGGACTGATAGTTCATAGGGTCACACTTGTCAACTATATCAGGATAGCTTGTGTTTTACATCTTTTTTCCCCCTTTGGGCCACAGAGTCAAATGGCTAATTAGCATGACTCAAATAGGGAGGAAACCCTCCTCTTCAAACGAGAAAACCTGCGCAAAAATCAAGTGTCCTTACTAGTATTTAGTATTTACAAACAAGGACACAGCAAAGTATGACAGAATAAAGCAAAAATTACTCATATTTCAATTTCTTACAAAACATTCAAGAAAAAATTAAGGTGTAGGCAAATTTCATTATTTTTAGGTGCATCCCTCATTGAGTTAAGAGACGGAACTGTCTATTTTTTTCTTTCTCCCTCTGTGTTTTTCTGTTGTCAGCTGTCAAGGTCTTTCTCCCCAGAGTAGTGGGGAGTAATTCCTTTGCCCCTTGGGGAAAGGCATGGGGAGGCTAAAATTTTTCAGCCCAGTAAGAGCACTTGGTAAGAGCATTCACATTTACAGCTTCCTACAGTGAATAAAGAACAATTCCTTCATCTTTCCCTGTGTTTTGTTTCCTGATTTTTCTCCCCCCTCCCACTCAGTATCATCAGTATAATATTAAAGAAATACACTTATTCCCTACTAAAAAGAAAAGAAAAGAAAAGAAAAGAAAAGAAAAGAAAAGAAAAGAAAGGAAAAGAAAGGAAAAGAGAAAAGAAAGGAACATCATCCTCATTCACTGTGATAGTGCTGTATTTTATCCCTGGCCTTCTGAATATAATGGCTTCTTCCAGATGTCAAAATACCACAGAAAGTGGAGGCCCTATCAGTTGGTATATATTTCTGCACTTGAAGGTAATCAGCAAGCCTTCACTGTCTTTCAGATCTTACTCCTGCTCATGATCCTTCCTTAATTATGAGGTTATAACTAAGCCTCTAACTATTCATCTCTATCTAGAGCAATAGTTTTTCTGTTTGTTTTTTTCTTTTCTTCTTGGTTCCAGGATAGCTCAGAATGGAGTCTGTTCACATACACACCAGTATCATTGTGGCCTATTGTGATCACTACTTAACATAACTGACATTTTATAGTTTACCTGTTTGTATGGTATTTGTATTGGTTTGGGATTGAGGGACCCTAAGTAAAATTTAAGTTGATGTCATTTTTTCTCTCTTTTGCAACTTGAAGAATAATAACCAGTATCTCAGAGAGAGAGGTTTAGACTCTTGTGCAGCATCCTGACTGTTCTGCAAGAAGCAGCTCTTGGAAAGCCATCTCACTCAGTAGCTCAGTGCCTATGCAAAAAGTCTGCCCGAATGCATACCAGTGCAACCATTGCTGCTCACCTAGGGACTGGAAATCACAGACCATTCTGAACCATGCAAAAGAAGAGCCACGATGGAGGAAAAATAATTGCAGAAATAGAGAAGATACTATTTTCCCAAGTATTAGAACACTAGAAATACCAGTTTGACACCAAAGGAAATAAAAAATTGAAAGGTGAGAAAGTCTATCAACTTCAGGTCTATAAGCATATATGGAAATCTGACAAAATCATTTCTCATTCCTATCAATGAAAGACCAGAGTTAGGCTGAACAGCCAACAAAGCAAACCCAGTTTACAAGAATATCACCAAAACCAATTACCCGGTTTCCAAAACCATCCTGTCCAGTCATTGAGGCAATGTAGAGTTGTAGTACAAGTGACAGTTTTTTAGAAGACTTTTTGAAAAGGCAGCTCATAATCTCTGAATTCAATAATTCTTTACTCTTTCTTACCTGTAGTCTATTGGCTAAAAAAATACAGCATTAAGAACTGACGGTACTTTTGAACTGCAATCTAATACTACCATTTCTGCTTAAAAATTTTGTACTTTTCAGCCAATAACAGAACAAATAGCCACACGCTTGCGCTTTTTGAAATGAAAAGCATTATCCAAATACACTGAATGTGAATATGAAGGTTAGCTGGTCATGGTGAGTAAAGTGAAGAATTCGCATGTTCTGCTGTTCAAAGATAAGCTTTGGCCTGTGTGACAGGAATGACTACTGTAAAAAGCCTTAGAACGCTGATGGTTTCTTGCAGTACTGCTGGGACAAGAGCTTTGTGTTCCTATTTGTACACAAATCTGAAAATCAGCAGTGTCAAGAGATGTATGCAGAGTGATTATTGCTAACTTCTGAGTAGGTTCAATGTATATTCACAGGGAATATTATAAAATGGACTTCATTTTCAATGACACCATGCTAGCCCCACCACTGTTTAATTCATTTTATGTATAATAATACAATTATTAGGACCTGGTGCAAATAGGTAAAAAGACAGGGGCTCAGCTGCAAAGAACGTATAAAGATAATTTATTGTGGAGGAAAAGGGATAAAGATGGAGAGTAACAAAACTAGAACACTTTAAAATAATAGCATAAATGTTGCTGGCATCATATTGTTGGGTTTTGTTGCTATTCTTGTTTTACTATCATTACTGCAAATCTTTGTTGTGAGACACCAGATGTCCTCTAGACTTCTAGGTAAAAATTTGTCTTTGGGACATACTTGAAGGAGTGGAAGAAAAAGGTTTAAATTATATCTGAATCTTCAAACATTCTTTTAGTGATATTTTAAAATAAAGTTTCTCAAAAAAAGACAACATGCCAGACTCATCCTATACTGTTAGACTGAACACGCCTGGGACCATTCTCTGGCACTGAAGCCAACTGAATAAAATGACCTTTGTACATATGATTACTCTCTTTTATCCTCCAAAAGACAGCAGCTACCTCCACGCTGCCCACCAGGAATGGTCCCAGGCCTGTGCTAACCCCCAACCTGTATCTGGGAATTGCAGTGAGAAAAGCTAAGTGGCAAGGATCAAATCCCTGCCAGGAACCATTGTAAAGATTTAGCAGTAAAAAAGATTGTGGTTTTGTGCCGATGTAATAGTCCGTTGAAGTGTTCAATTCAGTAATATAGAAATGGCTCTATAGAGATTGCCCCTACCACTTCTGAATATGAAAGCAGCCTGCTTTTCCAAATCTCACACTACCTGCATCTTCTCCTCAACCAGCCTGCACTTCTGGATTCACGCTGCAGGATGAATATTGTGGTAGGACAGAGATGGCTTATTTGTGAAACACGTGTGATTACAAACTCCTATACTCCTGCACTTTTTGAATATTTACAGAATTGCCAGAGAGAATATGATCCTGTCCAAGCAGTATTTTAGCATCCACAACTTTTTCCAAGAAGGCAACTGAAAGTTTAGATGTGTGTAAGCAGCTGATATTCCCATGCTGTTTTTCAGAAGGAAAATACTACATGGGCCAGACCATGACTGCTTAATACATCAGTCAAGGAGCAGAACATGCAGAGAGGAGGAACATCATGAGGTTGCTAAACAAACATCTCTTGGAGGAGAGGTGCTCTTTCTTTGATGAAGCATTTTGTGAGCCAAAACCCCAAAACTGCATTGGAGATGGGGGAAAAGAGTTTGCCTTCAGCCAGAAGCAGTAACATATACCTTTTTGTCTTTTCACATTAATTCAAAATTTCACTCATTTCTAACAACAATAATTAAAATGGAGTTGTGGTATGAGCATTAATAACGCATCACCATTCAGAAACAAATCCTAGCATATGAAATACAAATACTGAACCCATGACACCTACACCGATAAACTTGAAAAATTAGACTATTTCTCCTTCTGCTTTTTAATTACCTGGAGACAACATGCAATATTTTGTATTTTATAAATCATATAAATAGCATAAATTATAAAAATATAAATATTTTATGAAGTTATATTTTTAAATTGAATACATTTTGCTAATGATCTTTATAAATATATGTCCACAAATTTCATGATTCCCTCAATTAAAAAATAACAAGCCTACGCCCCTTGCTGGCAGACATGATTTTTCTCTGAAGAAAGTCTGAAAGGCTCATCAGCAAAACAACACTGCAAGCACTACCAGAGCATGACAGAAGGCTTGTACTGTAGGTAAGAAAAGGTTTTTATGAAACTTAAGTGAATTTACCTTGACAAGAAGTCTGTGAAAGAGAGACGTATCGGATATCCATGACGTATGATTTTGACCATGTCTAGGACACCAACGTACTGCAGTTGAGCAGACACATAAAAATTGTCAAAAGTATCTGGCAACTTGGAGTTATTAGGCTTTATACAACGAACAGAATGTGGCGTGCAGTTCTGCAGCTTCCCAATAATATCTGTGAGTGATTTCTGTGGGAAAAAAATCAGTTATCAATCATTATTGTGCAGCAAAGGCAATTGCTCAACACGTATACTATTCCTAACTTTTTAACATCATTTTCTCAAAAGGCTTGACCTGGCCATGCAAGTGGCTTTCTCAAGCATATGATTTTTCTTTCTTCCATTGCAATCTGTGGAGACTAATCCTGCCTTTAAAATGTTGTGGGTTTTTTTTGTTTGTTTTTGTAAATTTCTGTCCAGAAGATGTTCACTAACCCTGAGCTGTATTGCCACAGTGGTTGGGCCCCCTCGTTCCAGTCTCTGAAGAAATGAGGATGTTCCTTTCTTTTTCAACAGCTGTGGGGGAGAAAAGCACACACACAATACCTTTATCTCAAGATGGGCAATAAACCTTCATTTTCATTGTTACACGATTTACTAACAAAGGGAAAACATTGATACAAATAGTATGTCATAGTCAACTATTTGAGTTTCAGAAAGAATTGGGAAAGTGGATAAATATCCTCAAGTATCTGCAGAGCCATGACTAGCAAGAAAGTTTTGATTTCAAAAGCACCTGTATACCATTGGAAAGATAAAATACTTTTTCCAAATAACTGGGCAAAGCAATATGATCTGGAACTCTGTTGCAGAAGCAGGACTTGTGCAGTTAGTATCCCATACAGTCTGCCTTGTAAGTAGCATAATTCTGTAACTCTCTGAAAAGGTTCCTTATGTCTTTGGCAGATGCTTAAGCATAAGTAAATGTAAGCACAGATCATTAAAAAAATCTTGAAGGCAAAACGATAATATTAATATTAAAAAAACCCTTCTCTTTTCTTCCTGCACAAGTGAATGCAGTTAACTTTTTTGTCTTTTCTTTTTTAACCCATTTTCACCCACTATAGACATAAATTATCAATAACTTCATATCTCATTAGAACCAATGTTATCCTATACATCAGAGTTGGGTGTGGGAAACAGATTTATTTTTTGCTGTTCTACTTCCTATCCTTGAGACTAAAATGGCAATAATAATCCTAAAAGTGGTCCCAGAAATTAGTTTTTTTTTGTTAAACTTTCTACAGGAAGGCTGGCAAAATTATTGCGTTCCAGGATTTGGCCAAGCTCTTAGATTCAAACCTCTATATCAATGACAGCCTTTTCATCTCCGACTTTTTTTCACTGTCTTTCTCCAATCCAGTTACCCCATAAAACTCCCTTTCTATCAAGTCAGCATGTTCTGGCCTACTCCTGTTTTTTTCCAGTTGCATCAAAAAAGTGTACATTTCCTCAGCTTGGCCCACTCAAGCCAAACTCCATTAAAAATATTGCGGCGCAAGCAATTCTCTACTCACTACGATAAACTTTGGAGCTCTTTTTTATTTCAAATCTCACTTACTAGGATGCAATGAGATTTTAAAGGCAAATTCATCCCCAACTTCAAAACAGAAAAGTGAAAGAGATTTGCTTGCTCCGGGTCTTCTCATAAAAAGAACCGCTAGCATGCCAATGACACTTCTCAGTTAAAGTTTACAAAATAATTGAGGAATATAACTAAAATAGAGTTTTCTCCGCTTGACAGATAATGCACTCACCCCTTCCTCCCAACAGATTAAGTCACTAGTTCAAGACCATTTCCTGAGTTAGCAGAAGAGCCAGGAACAATGCTTTGGATGCTAAAGTTCCTGCCTGCTGTCCTGTGTTGCATACTTCTTCCCATGGGAAAGAAGTTTTTGATTCAGAACGAGGGAGAGAAAAGAAAGGAAACAAGGCAAAGACAAAAAATGAATTTAAGTCAAACTCTCCAAACTTGGACATCTTCAACTATGGGCTAAGGAACAAGACTACATCACCGAAGCTGTACTTCTCTCTTACCCTCTAATATGTAGCCTTATGTTGGAAAATCTTGTACCTCTAATCTACAAAAAAAATACATATATGTAACTTTGTAATCTCTGTTAAGAAGCTAAAACCTCCTCCTAAAAAATCTCTCTTTACCAGCAGAATATTTTAAAGCTTTAACCAGAAGACATACCAGAAGCTTTGCAATAGATGAGTTCTTCAACTAACAGACAAAGTGTTCATAAAGAGAAACAATACAAGGTCAATGGAAAGAAAAGCTTTCTGTTAGTGATGTGCATTCATGTGACTAGACTTCTCCTGTATGAACTCTGAAACCCACTGATTCTTTCAAAGGAAGCGAGGGGAAGGCAACAGGACCAAAGTATGCACTAGGAAAAGATTACAGAAAAATGAGGGAGCAAGAGCTGATGTGAGCAAAAGAGAGTTGTGAGAGCATCAATGAAGATACGTTCTATTTTATTTGAAAACGCGACACAGTCTTCATAAGTCACAGAGACTTGAGCTGGCGTCCCCAAATTCCTATGACTCCTTATGTGTTCTGAAATTCTGGCCAACTATTAGATCTGTTCATGTCTATCTTAGGATAGATATGCTGTTCTCTTGGACCCTGCTACAAGTAGAGTGGTGAGTTCAAAGAGGTAGACCATCCTTACCTGTGACAGCATGCTCAAAATCAAGGGAAGAGTCATTTATGGAAAGGTAAACAGGTAGATACATGACCATACACTGAGAAATCTATAATTATATAACCTAGCAAGTAGCTAGGACTGCAGATGACAAGCTGAAAGGGGAGGGGAATCACAACAAACTCCTATCTGACCTCTGACAGTGTCTACTTCTCTTCCCTGGATATGGTGGAGTCTAGATGACTACGCATACACAGCAACATCAATACCTTCCATTTTGTGTTTCTCACTGCCTACAGTATGATGTTTGTTACAACTCAAATTCCAGATATAAAAGGAATGCCAGTCTCTGGTTGATAATTTTTGCCTTAATGTCCGTCTTTCTCCCCCCACCCCTGCCTTTCTTTTTTTTTCTCTTTATTGCATTTACCCTCAGGATAAACTCCAATAAAAATGCAGTGGTTATGATTTTCCAACATATAGTCATTTTAATTCTAAGCTGATAAGAAAATGCTGCTTACATTGCATTTCCAATTACAATAACAACAACAAAAAAACAAACCCAACATTATTCCAGCCCATCACACTGGATTTTCAAGGCTATATTGGAAAAGGGAAGCAATTATTTGGGACAGCACAGTTATAGATGTGGGCTTGATCCACAAAAGAATTTAAGCACTTACCTACTTCCAGCTCCTGCATCAGGTGCCTATTCCAAAATAACACGTGTCTCTTTTTTGCCACTGGAACAACTTAGATATCTAAAGTTCTGCTTCCGTCCTGCAGGGCAGCACAGTACCTTGCTCAAATTAGGCCAACTCAGTATCTACAAACTAAGTGGTATTCTGTCTCACCTGCGCAGCTCTTCTCAAAGCCTACCTTTGAGAAGCCAAGCCATCCTTGTCTCTGTGGGCAGATGAAGGATGAAGTTCTTCCCACCTTCCATCTAATACCTAAAAGTTTAGAGCATTCTCACTGAATCTGGAATTTCTGACTTAATTTATCACGCTTCCCAAAGGAATTTGAATATGTCTTCTATCTCTCAAGAGAGTAACTCCAGGTTAAAAGCTATTCTGGACTGGTCAAAAACCTCATAGTTTCAGAGATCCCAGCTGTGTGGTGTTTCCCCCTGGCTTGATTAGGCTTCTAACTTAGACGTGCTTTTCATACTTCCTTCCATGTATGGGGGACTAGGATCTTTTTCACAGCCTTAGGAAGCTTCCTCTAGGAAGCTGTTACTATAGTGGAAAGGCACCTAAAGGCACCTTGTGATGCCTCAGCTGTTTGTTAAATATAGCCTTAAACCAACACCATTCACTTCAACTTAAGTTTTTCCACTGAGATTACTGACAAGAACAGTAGACAGGAATTATGCTACTATCAGCAGGGGGGCTATAAGGAAACTCCCATTGCTATTCTATGGATGTACTTGCATAAAGCCTTCCACAATGACACATGAGAGCAGGCTCCTTAATCCCATGACAGAACCAATTTTATGCAGCTGTAAGCCAAAAATAGAGTCGTAAGATTCAAGAAGCCTGGTGAGGCAGCTGATGTATTGTGAGAACTGCTTGCTTCTTTTCTAGAAGAAGGAGGAATTCCAAAGCTCTGTCGAGAATGGACTCAGCAAATCATGTTATTTCTCATCAAAAGAGAGATGTTCCATGTGACATGAACAATTAATTTTCTGATAGCCTCCCAAGTTTCATCCCCCCCCCCTTTTTTGGTTTGTTTGGGGTTTTTTTTGAACTTTTTTAGCTGACTTAGCTAGCAGAAAAAGAGACAAGTTCAGAAATGGGGAGAGTTTGATTTGATTTCAAATTGACTGGGAAAATTTGCATGCAAGTGACCATTTAAAATAACAATGTTTTCCAAAATGTACAGGGTTGATCTTCATACAAAACCACACAAACTACCTTTTGCAAACCAGAAATCTTCTCAAGTTAACACAATAAAGACATTGAGGTTTTATTTTTGTGCTTCCTATGTCTTAATTTACTCAACTATTCATCATAAAGTCAGCCAAGGAGACAAAACAAAGAATTGTTCCTATACAGCCAAAAATCAGTAATATTGCATCCACTGCTAAGCCCTGGAACCACAAAATCATGGACTGATTCAGGCTTGAAGGCACCTCATCATCTGGCCCAACCTCCTGCTCAGAGAGTCCGAGAAAGAGGTTCTTGAACCAGCATTATGAGTGTTAGTAAATTATGACCTGTTAGTTGTCACTATTCCTTTAGTGTAGATATTAAGTACTAGATTATTTTAATAGTTTAATGACTACAGAGAATGAAGCAGAGAACAAGGAGCTTTCAGAAATGACAAAGTAACTGAGAAAAATCTTCAAGGAGCAAAGAGCAGAAAGAGTCCTAAATTCTTACCTTGCTGAGCTCAATATATTTCTTTGCTTCTCCACTTGCACAGGCTACTGATGGTTTTTTACTCAGCAAAGCTGCTTTACACCCTTTGATTTTAAGGGAATGATATGGAGGAACAAGTGATCCAGTTTGTGTCAGCTTGGACTGGAACAATTGATTGATGACTACATTTTCACTGGCTGAGAAAAAAAGAAGAAATTAATACATGAAGATAAAATACAGGTTAGAAAATTAAATATATTGTATTTGGAAGTAAAAAGACATACAGTAGGAGATAGAATTAAATAAATAAACTTAAAACAAGTGGACAAACTGATAAACTATTATACTATGATAGTTATCAAAGAGCATTCAATATCTAAGGATGTCAGCCATCAGTAACACTATTTTTAAACATATTCAGGTCCTGTGCTGAACAAAACAGGGTGGGAAACAATTTCAGACGACTGTGATCTAAATTTAATTACTTTTAATTACTTTTGTGATAATCACCTCTGAGTCTTGTTCCAGACTCCAAATTGATCCATCTATTAAAGCAATATGAGATGCATTCTGCACCACATTTACCTAATATGTAGTATTTAGAAATGATCATGGCACTTGGCAGAAATAAATTATAGACACTCACTGCAGCAAAGGTAAAGAATGATAAAAAACACAATATGGGAAGGGATGAAAAAAAAAAAAGGCAAGGTGAAGGACAGAACTGTAGCAAGCTGGGTTCACATTTCTCTACATCAAGACCACGCTTACAAACATTTACAGAAAAAAGACAATGCCATACATATGTTTGATGCAGTGGTGATAATTAGTACAAAAGAAATACACTTCCAAGAGGTGTTTTTAAAAATAAAAATCTGAATTTTAAGACAGATAGGATATTTTATACTAATTTCAGTCAAGTTATCATTTATGAGATTATGGTCATTGGGCTTTTTAAGATTAGCATGGTAATTACATACTGTTTGTATTGCCACAGCACCAACAAGTATTAAAAACCTGTTGTGTGAAGTACAAAAGAAATACACTTCCAAGAGGTGTTTTTAAAAATAAAAATCTGAATTTTAAGACAGATAGGATATTTTATACTAATTTCAGTCAAGTTATCATTTATGAGATTATGGTCATTGGGCTTTTTAAGATTAGCATGGTAATTACATACTGTTTGTATTGCCACAGCACCAACAAGTATTAAAAACCTGTTGTGTGATACGTTCTTAGGCATCCTTAATTTTTATTACTTTTTTTCAAGAACTAGCAAACTGGCATTATGATCACACCCATCATGTGAATAAAACAAACAAAAAACCAGAAAGATGAATGGGATAAGCATCATAAATAATGTCATTAAGTTTAGTATAGCAGGTAGAAATCCTCAGTTTGATCTTTATTAGCTGTCTAAAGATATATTTACTAGGTGCTTAAATGCAATAGATGTTTCCCTTTTTCTGTGGAGATTACCATTACTTACTTAACAGGAACGATAAAATTATGAGGAAGATAGTAAATCAGATACTTGAAACAAGTTCAGCACAATCAGTGGACATAGTAAACTTCCATATTTTTAAAATACGGATAAATGTAATAAGTAGCATTAGAAAAGGCATTAAAATTACGTCCTTCAAATTAAAACATGAAATCTATGTCAGTAGTCTCTCCTGATTTATTTGTCGGACAGATATGTTCCACATTCTTACACACATACGCAAATTACTTTAATGTTGTTAGCATATTTAAAAGTTTTGATTAAGGAAACGAATTCAATGAAATTCAAAGGAAGCATGCACTTAAGGTATACGTCTACATAACTTATGAAACTGACCCTAAAGGAAATATCTCACTGACAATCAATAGGTTTTATGCCTCACTCACTTAAAAAAGAAGGAACATAGCCCTTAAATGCTTTACAAGCTTGTAAATATTCTGTCTTCAGAATTTTTCCATTAATTATAATTGCTATTATTATGACTTCTTAATTATATATACACTCACTCTCAGCATATCCAACATTTTGTATGCAATCCAATCCTCCGTTCTTCCTTTTTAACAGTTGCATAGCTGATTACACAAAATAGCAATGAAAGTGCAAAAGGAGCCAATGTGAGAGAATGGAAGAATGCTCTCTCTTGTAGAACACACTGGAAGTTGCCACACCTTCTTATACTCTTTGGCAGATTATCATGTAAATTCCAAGTAGTGAGAACTGGAATGCCTCTAAAACTGTAATCAATAGGATTACATTCAAGATCAATTCTTCCATTTCTTTCTTCATCCTTAATGTACACTGTTTGCCCTTAAAATGCATCAATTATTTTACTAGGGAGTTTAGCTAATTTCACAGTAGAACTGCTAAAAAACAATACATTGTAACAGCAGGGCTGATTTGGAAGACAAATATGACCTCCAAAAGACCTCTATTCCTATGGAAAGAAATATAAATATATAACATATTAAGTGAAAGACTCTGCAGTGGTTGGAGGAAAGACAAAAAACATCTCAGGATACACTGACATTTCCCTGAGGAAAATGTTTTGGTTTTCTTCACAGGAAGGGTAAATGGTAGAGGTTTCTAATAATCTAATTATGAATCATTAATTAATAAACTGGGATGCCTTATTATAGGCATAATTATATAATATGCACATGGAAAGGTATTTAATTTTGTATTTCAAAGGCCATTTGTATCCATTCACTGAAAAACATAAGAACGCCCACAAGTTCCTGCTTTTAGAAAGGTACTCAAGCAGTGAAGCGCATCCCACTGCAGTTTCTATGATTTTGGGAGCCTTATTTCCTTTCCCTGTTTTCTGGGGTTTATTTTTGTTTTAATTAATACTCAGTGATTTCTTTAAGTCATACTCATCTATCACACTGTACCTTCTTGTTCTTTACATCACATCACATGATGAAGATGCTTTATGTTCATTAATTTTAAAAGCTTTCTAAATTAGAGCAAATTTCAAACAATGTGTACATACTTCAAAAAGATGAGGGTGATTTCTTTTGCTGGAAATAAAATATATATAAATTTCTCTTAAAACTAAAAGGAAAATTAAAGTCAAGTCATAATGTCTTGATTTCTAACAACAACAGCAACCACAAAACCATTTACTTACTTTTCATTACAAATACGAGATTTTGTGAAAGGGAATCTTTATTTTTTTCTATCGCACCAGCAATTTCATAAGTAACCTATAATAAAATATTGTGACATCATTAGTAATGACCAATGCATCTTTTAAAAATCTTACAGCAGTAGAAATGAAGCTATGTTTTTTTCCACTCAACAGTTAAAGGCTGGCACCAGGTAGTGTCTTTTATTCCTTTCTTAGTGCAACAATACTAGTCAGAAGAACTGGTGGTTGGACATTGTGTGTCTCTGCAAGTACACAGAAATTTCATCAGACTGATTCTAAAATATTTCCACAATGCAAGACTTTGAATCAAAAGCGTAGTGGAGAAGACAGTGACCTAAACATCACTTTCCCTGTAGGATGAGCAAGTCGCTCCCAGATCACAGATCTCCTTGTCAACGGGAAACTGTCCACACTGACCATGATAAAACACTCATGGAGCAATCTGAGGCCCAGCTCACACTCAAGACGAGTTCCAGCCATTTATATGTCCTTTGGAGGCAAGCTCAGTCTATAGGTTATGTACAAATCCCATTTACCTTTCTAACAACTACGCACATAAGGATTTTGGATCACCTTAGTTGCCTGATGTCGTAATTTCAAGAACAGACAGTTGGAGTGTCACTCCCATCTGTCATCTGACTGCAGATAAACTCTAACACGTGTGGTGGGCACTCTGAGAAGTGAGCAAAACGTAAGGCTCTAGACAGAGCTCCTAAGGGTACATTCAAAATGAAGAAATATGACCAAGTGGCTGTTTTAACATTGAGTCCATCCCAGGAGACACTGTATAGAAAAGCAGCACTAAGACCAAAAAGCAGTCACTGAGCCCAGGTGTTTTTTGGGTTTTTTTACTTTTTATGGGGATGGAAGACAAACAACTAGTTAATTTACAGGCTTTAGATATAAACAGCTCTGGCTTGCATGGTAGTAGAACCCAAAGGGAATTTTTAAGTTAAAAAGGAAGAAAATTATAGATTGTAGTACCTCGAGGATTAGGCAGACACTTAATGGGAACTTCTTAGAATACAGTTTAGTTTTATTTACCTTGGGACCATATTTCTATCTAACGCCTTTTTTAAGTTTTTTATTGGATCTATATCCTAAGCCCCTTAGATATTTGAGGAAATTTTATCGTTGTAAGTTTAATAAAGCTGTAAATATATAATTAAGATTAGAAAGACTAATCAGTACATTAATTTTGTTTTCCATTGGGTCATTTGACAATTATGTAATGCTATCTTACTCACGAAAGAGATTATATGACTTGGATGTGTATAATCTGTTATAGTTAGTAATTGTCAAATGATGTAATTAGTATGGCATTTGACATAGAAGAGGTATAACAATAGAATTACGTTCTTTTCCATGACAGATGCAATGTTACATAATTTTCTAATTGCATCTCCTAAGAACATACAACATAGTTAGCAAACTACTAGAATAAATTGAGTATACTATTAAATGCCTTTAGTGTACTTAAAGTAAATGTTCTACCATACTGGTCCATAAAAGATAATTAACAGAACTTACTCGACAAATCCATAATGCCAGTTCCTAATTGAGTGTCTTAGGCTTTGCCTAAATTAGAAGCAGCGAGTTAGTATTGGTGGGAAGAGTAGGTAAGTATAGCAGTAGGAGATACTATATTATGGTTAAGTGCCCAGATTGAAACTGGGAGAAGTTTCAGTACTGGTGCTGGCATAATACATCGCCAGCTTCTAGAACTATATTCATAAGACATCTCTCATATCACATAAAACACATAAAAGTTCGCAGGATTCCTTTTTATGAAGAAATTGCTAACTCTCTAATGGTTTTCCCATAGACTTGGTAAATTAATTCACTGCCTAAAGACATGAAAACCAACTCAGTGAAATGGCACTCGAGGGTTCCATATGCATTGTCAGTCCCACAAAAGAGAAAAAGAAAGTCCTGTTCAAGCTGCCAGTTTTGTTAATTTAATCCTGCCCTTATCAGAGATGCCAACTTACATAGCACTTTGCCTAAAGCACATATATTTCCCCCAGTTTTCTTCCACTGGGTTTCTAAAGTAAACCTGGCCAAAACTCTGCACTGATTGGCACTCAAGCACAGTGGATAGTTATTCTGAGGAGACAAAAACCAAACAAATATTATATGATTCAGATGGGAAATGTGCACTTGCTTAGATCATGGTTCCAGTATTATAAAACATACTCCTTATTCTCACTTCTATTTATTGCAGCAGTTTGCTTTATCTTGCTTTACATGATGAACTCTTTGGGGTAGACGGTATGTAAACCTACATGTCTGTGTTAACCAAAGGAAACAAGATTTTAGATACTATCTGAACTGGTTGAACTATTTTTATTAGAAAAGAAAATAGTGTGCAGTTCCACACTGCATTTTATTTCATTAAAACAGATTAAAACAAGATAGGGATTTGATTTGCTTTCCTTCTTGATTTAAGTTCAGAAAGGAAGCACAGTGGTAGTGGGGCAGGCCAAGTGTTCATCTAGTCCTGGATATTTAGGGAAAAATATTGAGGAATACTTCCACTCTGCCTCCCACCAGTTCCCTTCTCAGCTTCCAGGGCTTTGCCCATGAGGGAGCTCTTGACCTGCAAGCTGTATCTCATCTTTGTGTTTAATATCTCTTGACTGACATTTCCTCCTCGAGTCTCTGTTTCCAGAACTCATTAACATTTTTGGCATCTATAACACTCTGTGGCAAGGAGTTTCACTAGTTACTAGCTATGTGAAAAAATGCTCAATTTTATTTGTTTTGAACCTGTTTTCTGGTCATTTAAGTTGGCATAGCTCATTTTAATATCATGAGAACTAGCAGATACAAATAAGAGGTAAAAAAACAACACCCAGAAAACAGGAGGCTCACACACCAAGCGTGCACAGAGCTAACTTTGGGAACTGCACGTTCCTCTTATCTTCTTACATACTCTTGCCTCTTCGCTTCATTAATTATCCTCATGCCATTCCATTGTACATCTTCTCTTCTGAAATGAAGTATCCCCCCTCATAACACCTGACTTTGGCAAGGGACTTTTATCTAAATTTATTGGATTTCCCAATGTACTTTATCAACAGGGCCACCTTTACACATAATTTTCATCGATTCCTTCAAATACTCTTTTTTGTAAATAGTTTTCATATCTTGTGATAAGCCAAAATCACTCATGGTTAATGGCAGATCCAGCAGGAACCCAAAAACAAGCCAGGAAAATACCACCTGAATGTTAAGGTTGATTTGGCTGCATTCACAGTTAAAAGGGAAAATTTTACTATTTTAATAACAAAATATAACTCAGAAACTCACAGTTTTGCACGTGTTGTTAAATTTAGTTAATAAGAAAATAATTAGTTCATATAGTTAAAAAAGAAATTTTTGAGAACGTGTCCAAGGACAATTTCAGCGCACAGAGGGTCACTTGTAGTTGTTAATTGTCTGCCAGTACTTAAATGTGAGTAACGTCATTTAAATGCTTGAATGTGCCATTTTCTTTAGGACCACTGGGCTTCTCACCCTCCCAAAACAAGTCTTGTTAAGCAATGAGTGAAGTAAATAATTTTATATAGTGTGTAAAGTCTTGTTCAAACACTGTGGTAGAAATAGTAGCATATTGAAACCAGAAGATATTTAGAAGCAAAATAGGAGAGTGAGGGGAAGTGTTCTATTATTTTCTGCTGTAAGTGAAAGTCCAAAATCAAGTCTACTTAAAGAAAGAGAGGGAGAAAAAGCACGACTATCTTGTCTGCGTGAAAAAGAGAATCTTTGTCAAGTAACCTTTATAGGCCCTGGTATAGCTTAGACTAGACTGATTTGATTGTTATGTCTGGGGATTCAGCCTGGGGAAAAAATAGAGAAAATGAAAGCATCCTTATTGATTAATCCATCTCCTTTTGTCTTTTGATTTAGAGGTTCAGTTTCAGAGTCTGCCTGGGATATATAAGGCATTTCAGAGAAGACTGCCTTGGTGAAGGTGAGCTGGCAGCTGAGAGGTATTTCTGAAATGCACATAGCTGAGAAATGGAACAGACATTGATCTGCACTTAAAGGACATTATGTGCACTGGGTTATAGAGCAAAGAAGTTGGTCTTTATGTCTGATCGGTTTATTACAGTACTCTAAGTCAAAACAGTGGCGAGGCAAACAGCGACAAGGGGCTTATCTGATTTGTAAACTCAAGTATAAATTTAAACTGCAGAAAGCTTAAATTATGACGACCTATTATTCAGATTACATGATCAGTGGGGCAAATAGCTCATTGTCTCGAACACCGGTATGTTAAATACCACTATTAGGTAAAGCTGTGTCTCTTGGCATTGTGCTAAGACAATATATTTCTGATTTACTTATTGATACGTTAATTCTTCCCTAAAATTAAAAAAAAAGAACTTTGAGTCCTCGAGAAAGTTCTGTGATGGAATATTATTCTTCAAAAATCACAACTATCAGTACGACTGACAGTTCAGAGATATAATTCATGTGAAGCCCTTTGTTACATGAGAGCCCACAATGTAAATATTAATGTTATCAATAAAAGTACCTAGAAATTCAGTACCACACATTCTTAGTATAGTTTCAGCCGATGGTCAGGTGCATTGATCAACTGCACCCACAAAACACTTCGCTTCCTCAAGGCGAGCTTGCAGCGTGCAGTGTGGAACCGGCGTGCCTCTCCTCTCACGGTGCTGCCAGGCAGACAGACTCGATGAGAAGCAGCTGAGAATACCCACATTCATCTTAGGCATCAGAAGCAAAGCAATGCCCCAGATGAGCAGAATTTTTCCAGAAGAGATCAGACTGCCAGTCTTCAGGGAAATGTGTTAAACAACCTTCAGATAAAGCCTTCCACTAGGATTTTTTTTTTAGTCATACAAAACCTAAATCATTCTTTTCTACCTTCTGCCTGAACAGAACAGATAAGCTTTTTGTCTTACGGTACTCAGATACCAAGACATTAAATAGCTCTTAGAAGAGACTCATAATGTTTCAGGGCATTGTAGGACTCTGTTCAGCAGCAAAATTAAAACTGGGAGATAAAGTAAAATATTTGATATGATAAAGTACTAATGTCACAGTGGCCTTTGCTAAGCATGTGTTCATATAGTTAACAACTGTATCATGATGCTCATGCAGAGAAAGACAGATTTAGCGTGTGCAGGTAGAATAGTAAAATTCAAGAGAAATTAAGAAAAAGTTGTTTTCTTTCTTCCACAGGATCATTCTGTCACATTTGTGTAATATAGTATTCTCTCTCAGCTTCCACTGAAAAATCTCACCCCCATGTTGATTCCTTCTCTGTGCAGAAGCTTACTTGTGCATATTGTTTTCCTCTTTTATTCCACTTTCTTCATTCCAAAATAGTAAAGAAAATAAGAAAAAATCAAAGGTCTCTCGGAATTATATCATACATAGAGATTTTCTTAAATATTGCTTCCGCAAGAAAATCAAGTATGGATTCCAAATTCTTTGGGTTTTTTTTCCTTACACATTACTCTGAGCCTCTTCTCATATGCCTTCTTCATCTCACTTCGACCTCATGCTTTCTTTTTTTCGCTTCTGACCCGTTTTCCCTTTTTCTCTCAGTACTGCTTTTTCTGGAATGGTCTAAGGCTCATTAGGCTTGGATCAATAATATGGCATGTGTAGTCCTAGGAAAAGCTACTGAGCATAAAACATAAGGGAATGGGCGGTACCTGACAACGCATACCTTTTTGACTACAATCAATCAAAAAGACTTGATAGTGGAAGAAAAGATAATTTTCCTGTGAGTATCCTGACACAAAATGTTAAGGTATGAACATGTTAGAGGTCTTTAAAACTGCATGGACACATCTGTACCAGCTGTAATTCTCTCATAATATAAAGTTAGGCATATCAGTTTTGTTCACAAAAGGTTGTCTGTCAATCTCAATTAAATATACAAAAGTAGGTCTCTTCAGTGAGGCAGTATTTTTAATAGCTGCATTTTCCAGTATAACTGCACTTATGAGTAGCTAAAATAGCTACTGTAAGTGTCTGAGTAAAGATAGGAACCCAATTCATTCTGGACTTCGAGCTACATACATAAACTACTGATGAAAAGGAGCCCAAATTACAAGGGTCCATATGAGATTCGTAGCAGGGCCAACATAGAATATTAGCTTTTTTTTTCTCTAGATGGCTCGGAGTAGCAGCTGTTTCACATTGGCTGTGAACTACATTGCAATTACAACTTCTGTTACCTAGAGAAATCAGGATGTCTGCCTTCACCTTCTAACACAGAGCCTGCATTCAGTGTGACTTCCTCCACAAACACCAGCCTAGACACATCACCCAAATATAAATGATTAAGCCTAGAAGTGAAAAAATTCATGTTCAATTACCTGTCGCATTTTACTGCTAATTCTTTTTCTACCCTCTGGGTCTGATTCATCTTTCAGTTATATTCATGTAAATAATGAGAAGCTTTACCAAGTTAAAGGAGTTTACAACCAGTGAAAAACTGTCGTAAGTGAGAATAAAATCAAGCCCCCTTGTTTTAAATTTTGGGATCTCTGAAGGTAACGATGCAGAGAAAGATTGCTTTATGCTTCACTTACTTTAGACTCATTTAATTGATATCAGACTACAAAAATGGCTCTCAAAACCTGCCAAACTATACTGTTACTTTATATATGAAATTCTTATTTTTGAGTGCCAATAAAACCTGATATATTTAAAAGCATGATCCTTTAACAATTTTCATAAAACATAAATCACAAATGACTTCTATAAAAAGCTACTAAAAGTAGTAATAGCACAATCTAAAGAACAGCATCAGCAGTTTTAAAATCCTAGTTTTTCATATTCAACTTAATATCTTATGAAGACATACTAATCTCAGAATAAACTCAATTTGTGTCATTATTTAGTACAGTAATGCTATCATCAGATTTTATGTAAATACATATCATAAATCACTGGAAATTTCAATCTGTGATAGCTAGATAACAGTACCATGAGAGATCAAAAATGCAAGTGTCTTTAAGGATTTTGCTCAATCAGTATTAAAGTAAGGAGAGTTAAGCACTTGCACGCAACGTTTCTGTTTTGGCAGGGCCGAGCATTTTACTGTCGTAAGGATGCAAAGAACAACCTGACTGTCTGGAATAGTTCCTTGGCCAATGTAAATCAAAGGATCTCCATCGACTTCAAAAGAACGTGTGAATTTACATTGCTTGGAGAGCTGTCTATTTGTTCATACTTTTAGATTAAATGTCATTACTATTATTAGGAAAAGGTCAAACCAAGTGTCTATGTTATAAAAAAAATTCTAAACAACCATGGAAGGCTTAAACACTTGTTAATGAAAAGTGTACTCCTTACCACTCACAGTTTAACTTTCAGAACTAGGCACCTGAATCTTTGATCTTAACAAATCTTCCTACTGAGCGCTTCTTCAGGAAATAAGACAAACATTTTTTTCATTTTGAAGAAATGTGCTTATTATTCTGGTTGTGATTTTAATGCAGCTGCCTTGCTGCTGCTTCCATGTCAGTTTTTTTGGTGTGTGGAACCTTTTAGAGCTATTGTGATAAATTTGTATAATCACAACAGAACTCCATGAAAAAATATTTACCTAACAAGTATAGAACAGATTTTTAAATGAAATGAGACATCTGGAGTCCACGGTCAGTTCTTAACTCTATCACTTGAAGTGCTAATAAGTTTCACAAAATCTTTGTTGTGCAGTTACCGAACCACTGCGTGCCTGCATTCCTACTGAAAAGTCCCAATAGTGGAGGTATTCAAACCACTTAACTCTGGCAAATAATTTGAGTCTAAGTAGAAGGCCTTATGATGAAAGAAGAGCCTCCAGGGAGTTATTCAGAGTATTTAGGTTAGGAATTTAAGCACTGCCCAAATAGTCTTAATCCTTTCCATAATGACCACATTTCTATCATTGGGCAGGAACAAATTTGCCTGCGTCAGAACACTACTCAACACTTCCATCGACTTCATTTCCAAATGAGGAGCCACAAAATAGACCTTTCACCATTTATATTGCTGTAAAGGACCCTAATCTGGTTAAAGAAGCCTAAGCGTGCACATTCCAGCCTCTCATCTGTTCTGGAGAGCTCAGGGCATATAATGTTACTTTGAGATATGACAGAGACAGCAAGTCTTTTTTTGGTGACTTGGAGACAAGACTTGAACACACCTCATAAGCGTACCCACTACCAATAGTCGACTGACAGCATAAATCTGTTCCACCTAAAATATTTATCATAGCAGGAAGTGTGTCATCCAGGACCTTTAGCAGCATGGATTAGAGTTATTTTTCTGGTGTTCTTACCCTAGCAAGCACATAGAACTCCCTTCTGAATCTAAAGTGATTTTTTTAGCAGCATACCAGATAAACCCCCTGCATTTGCTACTCAGAAAATCATGTGAGGGAAAGTTGCTCTAATTATCTCTCACAATAAGCAGCAGCAAAGCTGTTACATTTGTTTTAGAATTGTAATATGCATTCTAATCAAAAGACTTTATCATAGCTGCCCAATTTCTTGCTCATCAAACTCATCTCTTCCGCCTGTTGCTTGGGTAAAAAGAGAAGTGTCCAGGTGTCAGTTGTCTGGTTATACTGAAGCACCTGCAGTTTCCACGTGTCTTCCACGGAGGATTCTGAAGTGATTAGGTATGTATCCCATGCTGCCACTAAATCCTGAAAAAGCCAGGTTCTGCCTGACAGCAGCCTTTACTGAGATCTTAGGTTTAAAGTGACCTACTATGTAAAGTCATCAACTAATAACACTTACAGTTATATTTATAAACAACGCAGTGCATATGATCACAATGTGGTGGTTCTGAGGCACAGTAGCTAAACAGTTTCTAAATCTGCCACGCACAAAGCTTTTATGGGACTCCATCAGCGGATGGGTAGCTCATGGGATCATCTGCGTAAGACTTAGAAAGTGTGAAAGGACACAGAACAAGTTGTTCAGATGTAAAGACTGATTCCTGCAGCCTTCAGCGTATGTTCTCACCTGATTTCAGTGGAAATTTTGGAAAAGTGATAACTAAGAGCCCCCACTGTATTGTGCCCATACAATCTACATTCATTAGCTCATTTCAAATACCATGCTTTGAACATAGAGAAGTGGCAGCATGTCAGATTAATCACAGAGGGGCCAATCTGCCAGATTATCTAAAAAAAATGATTATCCCTTTAAACACATACTTATTTTGCTTGTTTTGGGTTGCGGGTGGTTGTGGAGACAACATGAAAATGAGAGAGTATTGGAAAGAAAAGGGTAAGAGGCCTATTTAACAGAATGGATTATGCTTTTCCCGTGAACATTGCAGGAGGGGAAATGCAAGCATTCATCCTGTTTTACAGCCATATTTAGAGACACTTAGCATGTTCTGGGATTTTGAAGAAAAAAAGGAAAAAATATATTTTGATTATGACTACTAGTAAAAAAACATGTTTTTTTTTTACCAGATGCATGCTGGTATCCAAGGTATCTACATATATGGCACAGGATCTACAGGGAACCTATACTGTTCTGGAGTAACATCTGAAAGCAAAGTGACAGCCAACTAAAATGGCATTAAACGTTTATGCTGAGGTATCTGAATCACCCCCTTCTCCATAAAATGCTTACAATGAAGATACAATTTAGGAGACAGAATTAGGTAGCCTGAACCCTGCACAATATGATACAAACCACAAATTTTATACACTGGATATTGTATATATTGAGATTCTAAGCTGTCATCTGAAAATTCATCATTAGAAAGTGAATTGTTATTTATAGCCAGGAGTTGGAGAAGCGATGCAGAATTTTGTTTTGTTTACTCTTTTTCATTAATTGTGTGTAACCAATCATTCAAACAACTTACCCTCCCAGCATAATGCATAACAGTGAAGGTGGAGCCCTGATCCTTTGGGGCAAGGTTACCATTTCCATCTTTTGTGGAGGAATATACTGTATTTGTGTCTGATGTATCCAGGTAAGACTGAATGCGTTTAGAAAGACTCTGTTCCACTGACCAAATAGATTGGCTTTCTTCATCCAGCATTGACAAAAAGCCTGACGGTTTCTGAAATGAAAAATAGATTTTTCTCATTTTATACAGGAGCAATAGAATTTCAGTTGTTCCTTGTAGAGTAACACAGCTTGTAATTTAGTAAACGGAAACATACATCACCTCAAAGAAAAGGAAAAAATGGTTAACATATACTGGTAAGTGCCCAAGGCTATGCACGTCAGATAATTCTGCAAGAACCGTAGGGAATAATATTTCAGTTGCCAAAAATGGTAAATACTGATGATCTTTTAGGAAACTGGGCTACGTCCTTCTTAGAAGTTATACTCCAGAAACTAGCTTCAGGCACAAAAGAAACTGTCAGGCTTACAACAGAGACTTGTCAGTCCTACAGCTGCATTAATGACATGGCATGATACACAGATGCTGCGCGTGAATCAGTACAGGCACGGAGCTTCTGTTACCTCTTCTTCAACCCTGGACTGTTAGAGAGCTCTGTTAGGTCTCGAGCTATGAGGGCAGTTATGACAGCCCTCTCTATGGTCTCTTTGGACACATGACCTTCTCTACAGATTCATAAATCCGAAAATGCAGGCAAAAGTTTGTATTAGTCTAACATGCAGAGGGGGCGTATAAGTATACATGGTGTAAAAAGGATCTGAAAACTACCTGAAAGAAAAAATCCAAGGCTGCAGTATGGTTACCAGGAGAATACACCGTTTCCATGGCAACTCCCTCTTGTACACATTCTGCTTGCTCTTGTAGGAAAAGCACTTCATTGATGTACTGGTGTATCTTCTCATTGGTCATGTTGACACACAGCTATCGTAAAATGAAGAAAAAAATGAGTATCAGAAGTTTACTGGATAATTCATTGGTGTAGGTTTTACTGCACGTCTAGTATTGAATTTGATGAAATGTCAATCCACAATATGTTATCTCTCAGTAGACCACAGATTAGCAAGACCCTAGGGAAATTTACATTTTAACAGCTATTAGTATTAAATTGGGAATAAACAGTTTTCTGCCTGCACAGTTCATTGTGAATTCCACACAAGAATTATCAAATACCAGCATTATCAAATATAGTGCAAATTTACACTAATTCTATTGATTGAAGGGGGGTAACTCTATGTATAAATTGGTGCGCTTAATATTCTTCTGCAGTTTATATTCAGAAAGGCTACACAGATGTAATGTGCTTTTAGAAAAAATAACTACACACTTGGTTAGGATCCTGACTCTATAGTTAGTTCAGCGTTAACAAAGACATTCAAACTCTGCTTCCACATATAATATCACTGAAGTCTAAAGCACTCTCTGACGAACTCGTGTTTTGCCCAAATATATGTTATAAAACACCTAGGGACATTTTACTAGATGCTTCTCTCCATTTTATTGATATTCTAAGGGAAGGCTGGCGAGAAAACGGTCTTCAGTAGAAAAGTTCAAAGTTTGGAGAGATAAATAATATAAAAGCCCCTCAAATATTTTCTTTGATTGCCTTATAATGGGGACTTTTTGTATTTTATTCAAAGTTCACAATCTGCAAAAAAGTAAATATTTACTAACTTTGTGGAATAAATGTTTTAACTGTTTTATTTATATTAAAGTGGAGATTTTAGTGGAAAATTCTAAAATCTCCTCCAATGCTATACTAACTAACACTAAGAAATTAAGAAACCAGAAACCCCTAAAAGGGTGGAAGGACCCTTTATATGAGGAACGATGCAAGGAATGCAGGTTGTTTAGCCTGGAGAAGAGGAGGCTCAGGGGAGAACTTATTGCTCTCTACACCTACCTGAAAGGAGGTTGTAGCGAGGTGGGGGTCAGTCTCTTCTCCCAAGTAATAAGTGATAGGATGAGAGGAAACGGCCTCAAGTTGCACCAGGGGAGGTTTAGATCGGATATTAGGAAAAATTTCTTCCCCTAAAGGGTTGTCAAGCACTGGAACAGGCTGCCCAGGGAAGTGGTTGAGTCACCATCCCTGGAGGTATTTAAAAGTCGTGTAGACGTGACACTTAGGGACATGGTTTAGTGGTGGACTTGGCAGTGCTAGGTTAACGGTTGGACTTGATGATCTTAAAGGTCTTTTCCAACCTAAACAATTCTATGATTCTATGATTCTATGAATGCTTGCACGCAGTCTCTTTTCAGACTAAACTAGTCGGATATTTATTTTGGCCATAAACTATATCTTCCATGAATAAAGTGTGTAAAAGCAATTCCACCAGCAAGTCATATTAAAAAATATGAAATGTTTAGATCAATCCTAAAAGTACGTTCAGATGAGGGAAAAGAACTCAAGTAATGTGTAATAGCCTGAATTTTCCATTAACACCTCATGCTAGTATAATCAACTTGCACTTGTTATACAGTGAAATAGACTAGTGTGAATAACAGTAAGAATAAAACAAAAGCCCTATTTTATAACAAAATGTCTGTTATTAACTGTCTTTACCAATGCATGATAGTGCAGACAAAAGACAGCCTTGAGTAAACCCACTATTTTTTAAAAGTGGGATTTCTAAAGATTCAGATTGTTATCTCATTTTATTAACAAAGAAAGTATACAACTGACTTACACTATCTACTTATTTTATGGAAAAAGACAGCTTTTTAAACTTTGTGGCAGGCAAAATATACTTTACTGATCACTTTTCAAATTCTAATTCTACTTACCAAATCTTTTCAGAAGCTTCTTAACATTATTTTAGAAGGCAGACATAATATTACAAGCTTATACTTCACAGGATATGTAAAGCCTTAAAATTATGCATGCTGTGTATATCTTTAGTTGCAAATGAGTTGTTTGGAGAATCATGTCGTTTAACTTTACACAGGAATATTTTACCCTAAGAAAAGTTGACAAAATCACTATAAACTCAAGTTTACTTTTTATCATGTGCCAGTCTCCTAAAATATATAAAACCAATAAATGTACTTGAGGACCTGACTGCGCAGTAGAATTATTAAACCACACAATTCAAGCTGAAGGGAAAGACTGTCTTAGTCATATCTTAAAAAGATCTGAAAAATAGCATTGATTTTAACTGCCAAAAGTAAAAGGCATACTATTTTGTTGAAATATTCATACATAAGATGCTGGGCTGGTAAAGAAAAAAAAAAACACATTTATAAATTCTGCTGATTAGTATATTATGGCATACACTGGTGTCCTTTTTAGTAATACCAGCGATACCGTCATTCAGACTGGCAGACTTGCCATAACGACAGCAAGGTTCTGCAAACCAGACCAGAAAGCAAGCTCAAGCGCTTATCCGAACCGCAGGCTGCTCCAGAGCTGCTCTCCTAGCAGTGGCTGTGAGTAACAGCCCTGCAGAATGAGAACCAGGAGACCAGCCAGGGACTGCTGAAAAGCAAGACATTCTGATCGTATCTTTCTCCATTGCAGTGTTTTATACAACCTGCTGGGAAGCGGTAATAAAATGAATGTTTCAAATTAAAAGCTTGACACAGGTTGACATAATAATTAAAACAGCTGAAATGTAGAAATCAGATGAAAATGAACTAAACTAGCTTTGCTAATCCAACTTCTTTTGCTCCATGTCATATGAAGTATTATATAAAACAATGACATATTTTCTGTCCAAAGATATGAAAAGTTCCGAAAACTACATTTTTTAAACACATATTTAATTAAACCCATGAAAATTATATGGAAATGTAGTAGTAGTAAAAGAAAACACAAGAAATTTTTACCTAAAACAAATGTAATGGGAATAACTTTAAGCATTGTATATTTGGTTTACCTTGCAGCATTATTCAACACTACCTATGGTACTTTTTGTCATTAAACATTGTTAAACTGTTCTTCACATGCCTTTTATTGGCTCCATTGTATGTCTCTTCTGAAAGAAATCCTCCTTTCTATCTGTCTTCCTTTCTAATCCTAACTCATTACTATGTCTCAGTGAAAACAAATCACCATCTATGTGTCCAAGTCTTCATTAAAAAGTACTTCTAGAATATTATTAGAAGAAAAAAAAATTCTTGTTCAAGTATTTAAACAAAAAACTTGAAGTATCATCCAAATTGTAGAATTTGGAGAATAATACAGTGGCATTTGGTAAAAGCAGTAAGTATTCATCACATTAGACAGTGTTAGCTTGATCTCTCTTTTTTTACCATATTTGACCAGTTAGTACTATTAAGTATACTCCAAATTCATATTTAGGTAGAAGACCAAAATTGTACTGTACTCCGAAGACAGAAAAGCACCTGTGAGTAATGACATTTTCCTGCTCTTCACCTTATATAAATAGCTATTTGAAAAGGCGTAGCCAAAAAAAAGGGAATTTGTGAAAAGAAAACTTGGTGACTGTCAATCAGTGAGGGAACGATGGATGTGAACACCCTTTGGAAAGCTCATTTACATCCTTCGGTCATGCAGAAGGATTAGCTCTCTCAAGGGATGCGCATTCAAAGCATGGAGTAAAGCTCATAGCTATCATATCAACGCATCTATCAAGCCGTATGTTATTGGCCAAGACGATGACGCTACAATGCCGAGTTCAATTTGCAAGGTTGTGCTCTAGCATTTCTCAAAAATGTAATTCTAAGGCAGAATCATCTTCTATTTACTGAGGTTGGACTCAGAAAAAATTTTTAAACCTAAGGCTGATAATCACTTATTTCTCAGAAGTACCTTGATCACTGTTCCCCCTTGTATCTGCTACCCAGACATTTCCACATCCTTTTTTTTAAGTAGAGTACCAATCAGATTATTTTTAATGAAGGTATAACAAAAGCAGAACCCATTATATTTCCTCCTTTGCCTTTTAGGGGCAATAGAATCTAATACAGATTTCGTGTTTTCCATGCAGCTCCACCACAAATTCAAACATAGTCCTTCTGCCTCTCTGCCAGAAGAACTTTATTTCACTGGGAATTCACGTTGTCTCTGGGGTCAGTTGCCATTAGCTGATCTGTGTTCCTCAAATAAAGTAAAACAGAACCCAGTGCTATATTAAAATTTTATTATGGGTAGCTGTCACCTGAAAAGCGTTCCACAAAGGAAGGTCTGAAAAGCCCCTCCAAAAGGGACACAATTTCAACACAAAGTGGAATAGTCCCCCACCTGGTTTTGTACATATAAAAGTATTAAACAAACAAGCAAACAAACATGGTAACAACAGTCTTCCCTTGAAAGAATTTGGAATTAAAGGTACTGAAATAGTTCCAAGTTATTTTTTTGCTCATATTGCTGGCCAGCAACTAAGTACTGTAGGATAAAAAAGCATGCTGCTGCGGAAAAGTAAGATATCGGTTAATCAATGTCCTTGTGCAGCATTTCACCAATCAATCACAAACTGAATCTAGCTGGAAATCTCAATTTTAGATAAATTATTTTATTTTTCACCACAAAGTGTCTACCGTAAAAGAACAAAGCAAAAAAAACATTTTAATGTCAGCTACCTGATAAGCTAACTTTAAGACTGAGTAACACTGGTTTTCCAGTGGCTGACTGGAACACTGGATAGACATTAGTGTCCTGCCCAAATGGAAAAAAACGTGTGCAGACTGGAAAAAAGACCAAAGAGACTGAGAGGGAACAGGGGTATACCACGACAAAAGCCATGCAGAGCGTAAGATCCACCGGAACTGGGTCGAGGAACAAATTAAAACGCAGGATCGCCAGGCCCCTGAGGGCAGGAATAGGCTTTTACAGCCCCGCTCGGCTTTCCCTGGGGCCCCCACCCACACCCTGCCCATGGGCCCAGTCCCAGGCGACACCATGGCAGTGCCAGTTTCCAGCCCCGTCTCCAGCTGCTCCTGACAGGACCCCAGCCCCGGCTCGCTGCTTGCCGTGTCAGGGCAGCCGATGGGCGCCGTTACCGGCCCTGGCTCTGCCCACCATGCTCCGGCCCCGCGGGATGGTGCCCATCAGGGAGGGCATGGCCGGCCTTGGGGTCCTCCTGGTGCCTGGCTCCCTGATGCCAGGGATCAGCTGGCTCTCGCTGCTCCCCAACAAGGATGTTAAAACCTTCCTGTGCATGGAGGCGAGCAAAACTCTGACTTAAAAATATCACGTCATTTTTCCTTGTTAAAGGCTGAATTAAGACAGTAAAGCACTGTCCCTCATCCTTTGGGGAATAAGGAATGCCCCAGCACTGGGAGCTGCAGTGGGAGGTTCTGCATTCAAGTCCCTACGTAGCAGCAGAGCTCAGTGTGCACCAGCAGCCGCCTATTCCACAGGCTAATACAGAGGCAAGCAGGACCATCCATCTATGCTCTGGACAGGCAAAACCAAAGAAGGCTGATTTCTTCTGCATAAAATAAAATATTGGAATGTTCCTTCAGACTGTCCGAATGCAAAAACTTGAGTGCGTGACCTCCCGTCTGCTATCACTGAGACTGCAATGACTGTAGAAAAGTTGTCATGTAACTTATCTATTCGTATCCGTCTGTCTACAAAATAGGCAACATGAGCTTACATTTGGATAGCTAGAAATGGTCTCATGGCTGAGGCAATGCAATTTAATAAAAAAATATTCTGTTACGGCTGTTTTGGCTAGGAAAGGTCACATGACAAAATTAAATGAAGTCTCAGCAGGGTTAACTAAAGAAATAACACGCTAAGAAGTTAAAACCTACCACACCTAATAATAAACGTAGGTGAAAATTCCTGTGAACACAGCTGGGTTGTACGAGCTCTTCTGCTTCACCGTAGTGACTCTGAAGTCAAGTCCTGAGAGGGGCAGGCAATGCTCTGTGCTCTTGGAGCCAGCTGGCTCCTATCGCGAGAGATGTGCTGCACAGAGCTGCCACGGGAGCCGTCCCTCTCCCAGCGCCCTACTGCATCACGCAGATAATGCCGCCCATACTTTAATGGGTATAGAGTTGAATGGGAGTCAAGAGACACTTGACTGTTTCCGTGATCTGCGGTCCTAATTCCGATAAACCACTTATATTTCCTATAAAAAGGAGGAGATATATATACTTTCTTCTGCAAAACTTAAGAGGTCTACAGAGGCAAAACACCATGCAAGAGCTAAACACATTATTTAGCAAGAGCTAAATATTTTTTCAGCTTACCACTTGAATTAGACATCAGAGAGAAAAGACTACTAGAGTCCATTTTATTTAACTGCATTATTGCTCTTTATGATGCTTCCACAACTACAGACTTCCATTTCTGTAGAAAGACCTGATTTTCTGCAGGGGGAAGAAAAGCTGCTTTTGCTACTCTAAGGCCTGGTTCTTCTGCTATAATACAGTTTTCTTAGAAACAATTAGGGGAAAATGATATAGGCAACTTTATCAGCCTTCCCTCCTGCTTACTGCTTGTTATGTTCATTTGCTGTGAGTTCTTTCAGTTTGTGTTGCATGCTTTTGCGGTCAAAGAATATACTAGCATAAAGGTATAAAGAAGATAGCAGCATAAAGGTTTAAAGAAATATCAGCATTCCTTGACTGCACTATTTGGAGTTGTGCTGTGAAGGAACCACGAATAAGATCTAACCTAGCTTTAAATAAATATAGCCCCTCTCAAACAAAGAAACCTAAGAAAACATTGAAAACTAACATCGAAAACTGCTATTGCTGTTTTTGGTAGAGCACTCATATTTCCTGAAATGATAACAAAATGAAGGCCATTTCTGTATAGAACAGGACAGACAAATCTGTGCTCACTTCTGACCATGTTCCAGTGTGGCTGTATACAAAGCTGTTCTGGCACAGCAGGTATGCAGCTGCTCTAGGAAAATGCTGTTCTCAAGCTAATGATCACTGCTAGGAAGTGACTGTAAATTGTAATTGGGGTGAGCTAAAAGTGTACTGTTGTCTTTTACCATAGCTCAGCTAATGAGCAGTAACTCACTGAGTCCTGGTAATTCAGAAGCTTTCAGTCTGTATTGAGCAATGACTCCCTCAGACTGTGGCTTCCCCCGTCTTCCGGCTTTTAAATTTCATACCAAAAATCACAAGTCCACTCACTATCGCTTATTCCATACATTTATTTACTGTTATTTTAGAATTACATGTCCTATTTTTGCTATTATAAATATAATGTATCACACGTTCTATAAAATGAAGGCTTACCGATGCTCACCAAGTACAAGGAAAACTGAACACTTAATACTGTTTTTAACTTCTAATGCCTTCTTCTTTGTAATCGTCTATAAAACTTTTCTCCTTGCAAGCTGTCAGTCACAACATCTTGCCTGCAGAAGTTACCAGATTCTCGGTGTAGACATAATTAACCTTACTTTTCTAGTTCTTTGACATCTATTGTCCTATGCATTGTTCATGAACCATTCCTAGACCAATTCTTTGTTTGCCTTTGACATTTCAATTCTCTAATGCCTTGTCATTCCAACACACTCACTGGAGTGAACCAGTTATTCTACCTGGTTTATCCATCTCTCTCTTCCTGAACCGTCTTCAAACACAGTCTATTAAAATGAATTGCTTAAATTGACACGTGATTTACTATCATATTGCTCTCTTAATTATGATATTAAATTGTCTATCAGCTGACCTGATTTGAAGCACCAGAAAGATTCACGCAGCTGCTTGGAATGTCCCCAGATTTGGGCAATCAGGAGGTTTTAATTTTCGTGAAAACAGTTGCTTTTTTTTTTTTCCAAGAAAGCAGGCAAACAGGTATCACAAAGAATGCCTTGTCTTACACTAATTTGAAACAAAAGGTTCATTTTCCCCAAATTACTTTTGCAATGCCATTTTAGTATATGTTAATCTAAATGTGATGACAAAGTAATTTTTATGGCTCCTCCACTGTTTGGCTGTAACATTGAATGTTAATGTTCTGCAGCCACAGGCCTTGACACTGGGCATGTTTGCAGACATGATGCAATGTTTTGCGTGAGGACCCTATCTGGGCTAACAAGCCCGTTTATCATCAGGGTTAACGAGCCCAGGCAGAATACTGAACTAGGCTAGACTGCTAGACAGCTCAAGCTTTTGAGCGCAGGCTGTTTTGGGTATGTCTGCATGATTACATTGTGCCATGCGGAGATACAAACTGCTTCTCTTCATTGACACGGCAACCTATCACTTCAGGAATCAGGTGTGTTAATCACATTATAGAGTCCGTATAAAAATGAACTCTGCAATTCCCTCACCCTTATTCTATCTTATCAGGAATGCAGTTCAGCAGTTTCTGAGGTAATGACTCAGAGTATTACTCAATATTACTCAACAAAATGCATTCAGTCCAGGTGGAGGGACAGTAAGGGTCTCTTGAAATGTATTTATTTAGAAGAAACAAAATAAAAATGCAAAGTTGACTTTGAAATTATCATGTTTGCTATGCAGAAATCATAAAATAAATTACTTTTTACCCATTTTCTTTGTGTCATATTTTTTCTTCAAACATCCTCTGCAGTCACTAAGCAGAAAATGACTTACCCAAAAATTGGAATTCATGGTATATCATGTTGTTAGTTGCAGAACTTATATGACTTTCATGAGAAAACACAATGCAGAACAGAGTCAAGGGAAAATAGCCAGTAAGTCCCAAGATGCACCCCTCTCTTTTGAGATGCATTTAAAATGCATAAAATACTTCATCCTTATTAATCAGTAGGGTTTATGGAATTTGTTTTGCAGACATGCAGGCTGTTAAAATGTTTTTTGTTTTTCACTTGATATTTTCACCCAAAATAGACATTCACACTGAGTAAATGACTGTGAATATTGGCACACTTCAATAGTCCTTAATCCAGCAAACTTTCAAGCAAGGTAGAACTGTAACAGCAAAAAGAGTTTTGTGAGAGGGGAACTGGAATATGTTTTATTGCATTCTTACACACTCTTTTGAAGGTAGAGGTAAGCTCACCCTGTTTGTGCTTTCAAACATTTGGAAATTGGGTAGCCATGCTACACAAACTGAACTAATGTGGCTCTACGACTTCTATTTCACTAGAAAGAGAAAGTTGAGCCATAAAACAATGGATTGACTGGGATGAAGGGGCAAATTCTGATTTCAAACAATAACAGGTCCTTTGTTGTTGCTGATGCCATCTCTATTCTTTTCTATGCTTTGATTTTCTATTCTATGCTTTGATTTTCTTCTGCTGCATTACAGAATGAATGAACAACCGAACAATAACTTAGACAACTCTTTCAGCGTGTTGTGTAGAGTTGCTAATGCTTTCTGAAATACGTAATTCACAAGAGCTTTGGTGTTCAGAGATTAATGTGGGGCAAATTGTGGGGCCAATGTTCAGAGACTAATGGTGGGCAAACAGTTCCATAATTTTCAAAAAATGTTTGCTATTTAAATGGATTTTTAAGCATTCAATGAGCTAAAGTTTAATTTATTTTCCATGGATGTAATTCAATTTTTGAAAAGTCACATGTTGTAAAGTCACACAGAGGTGAATCTGCCGGTAATGGCACTTAGCATAATGTAGCATTTTCATTCTATTTTTTCTCCAAGGCATCTGAAGACCTTTTGATCTTTCTTCCAATCCAGTATATTGTCCTCCTACTCACTGACCTAGTTGAAGTATCACTTCCACATCCATGAAAACAGACAACACTAAGTATTTTCCTCAGATTGTCTTGCAGTGCTGATACTACCCTTCTTCCAAATCATTATGGTAGATGTTTACTGGATTCTTGTAAAATGATGAATAACTGTACAAAGCCCAGGTTTTACCTAACACCTATATAGGCAGAATGGGAAAAAAATATTTTAAGAGCAAATTTTCTCCTCCATGTATGTTTATATTCTGATCAAAACACTTGTTTTGGCTAAACCCCAAAACCTTAATAGAAGAATTAACATTAACAGTTACAGTAAATTCAGCAAAACATAGCCACTTACCTGTTCGAAAGTATTCTTTTGAAATTCTTCAAATCCAAAAATATCCAGTACTCCAATTTCAAATACCTGGTCACTGGGAAAAAAAGATATTGCAGATAATAAGAATTCAAGCAAGTGAATAATATATCTGTTGTTTCTGACAAAAGTAATTCTGTTCCAGGATGAAAGCAGGCTGTATTTCAAAAACATGGTATGAAATACACAAGCAGACCATGTATACAACAGAATCAAAATTCTACCCACCAACCTATTATATTGAACATAAATAAAAAAGCAGGGTTCAAGATTGTTTTAGCAGCCACTTTAAAAACTAAATTTGTAAGAGAAGGAAAAAAACTTAGCTTCTTTAAAGTCCAGTTTCTAAAGGTGTAGGTGTCTATTCGCTCAGATGAGGGATAGCCATTTAGAGGAAGTTTCAATATTGCCTGGTTGCACTCAGACACCCCTTCCAGTTCATATTTCTTCGACAGCCAGAACTGCTCCTACTAAATGTACTTCAAGGGAAACCTGTTAAGCCAAAGTCCTCTTTGTGCCAGCATCAAGTAGAGGCTGTGAGCTCAGGCTGCACAAGAGGTTACATCTCTCAGGGGAAAGAACAGTCAGGATTTGGGCATGAAGACGACAGACGTTTCTTCTCTGTATATATAAAAGAATACTTGTTGGCAGTGCATCTAATTTGTCATGTGCCACTGCTTGCATTCAGGGAAAGGCTTTTATTTTGGCCCAGTGGAAGGATTAGGGCAGGGCAGTCACCTAGGATTTGGACAGGAGATATGGGAAAGGGACAGAGGTGTTATTATTCTGTACTTGCTTGGGACTAAGTAATTGTAAACCTGATCTGGAGAAGAAACTAAGTTCACTGTGGGGAGTAAATTTAATGTTTTGGGATATCCTGTTGCCTGCTTTGGAAGGATTTGAGAACTCTATATGAAAGGGCTGGGCTCACTGAGGCTGGGCTTTTTCTTTATTTTCTTCCCTGTATCGTTAGACAGAGAACATAAAAAAGAGGGTTACAGTAAAAAATTTGTTGCAGTTTGCCTATGTGAATGCAGTGGGACTTTCTCCGGAGCGAAATGATCTGCCAGCAGGATGACAGACTTTGCACTATAGCCAATGGCTCTCTGGAACAGGAAAAATCAGCAAAGGAAAAAATAATTCATCTTCCTGAGAAAGGAGATGGACACTTTTTAAAGCAGATGAGTTTTCCTTTCTCTTTGCCAACATAATTTGTAAATGTATGAGGTTATATGTATACAAATAATATTGCAGCCTGCTGTTTCTGAAATCTACTTTTCCTTCCACATTTTCCTCCGTGTTCCATGTTTCCTCTGCCTAATTCTATGTGCATATCAGGATATAGATGTAAAGGAGAAAAAGGTGATCCACTGTTGAAATACTTTAGTATAGTTCTATTACAGTCATTGTAAACACTACCATTTAATTAGGCGATGATCCAGCCCTGAAATTAAAAGGAAAATCATAAAAAAATGGAGTACTGCAAAACAAGCTAGGAAGAACAATCCTCAGGGACAAGCAGAGCCTTCTTCAGAAATCATACCTACGAAGCTTGTCTTCATTTCTAAGGCACACTAGTTCAATGCACTACTAATCGTCACAAGACTGGCTATGTGCGTAAATGTCAGACATAGAGAGTTGCATAATAAATCTAGTCTAGAATGACTTTGTTGGGCAGGAGAGGTTATCGTGAGGTCGATTAGCCTCCAACGGAATTTCTACAACAAGAAGCATAAAGATATATCACCACCTCTGTCTCTAGCAATGAGTGCAATTTAAATTGTGTTTTAAGATGTAAGCCTCATTCTCAAGTATTCCTGATTAGAGATGGGTGTACATTCCTTGTCACAATGTGTTTTCAACAAAACCAGTCCATTTCTGTAAAGAAGAATTAGACATTTTGAAAACAACCTCAGACTAATATTAAAAAGCCAGAATTATTATGTTATTTAAATAAGTTTTGGAAAAAAAGTAGTTTGGCATTTCAGAATACTTAATAAGTTTTCCTTCTTATTTTATTATTTTGTCATTTATCTATAGCTTTCCTTATAGGAAGGCAAAACATGAACTGCTATGTAATATTGCACAACAACTAAAATATTGCATTATATTTCATAATTATTAAGAGCTACTTAACACGGATGGAACAGCTTATCCCTTCTCTGTCTGATTCAATGAATAGAATTGAGGATGAATTGCTTACATCCCAGTTTAGTGTCATGACTGTTATTTTATCAAATTAGTTTCCCTTACTTTATCTCAAGGAATATATAAACATCTGCATAAGGAAAAGTTCTAAACAAACTGACTTAATGCATTATTACAAATCAGGCGAAACAGGAACCTGGCCCTAGTTTCTAAAAGTCCAGGTAAAAGCCTTAGCAGACAGCCTATTGCCTACATCAAATAACATTCTTTATCAAAACTGTGATATTTCCAAGAAATATCTTGATTTGCTGGAGATGCATTTGTTGACAGGAGAACATGTCATCCCAATTTTTTTGATGAACTCCACTTGATAATCTTGGCCTTGTATTATTAGAAGATGCACATACTACATGAAAAGAGCTGGAGGTTTTACATAATTGATATCTTGCCTACAGGGCAAGTATAACGGAACAAGGCTCTGTATCCTCTACAATAGCGACATTTTATTACTACATTGTGGCATTTATTTGCAAAATCTCACCAACCATGATAGCAATTTTCTGTATTAAATTATTGCCCAGATTTTGAAAATTAAATAGCAATAGACAGCACAACATCAAAATTGAAAGCGTTGTTTTATATGTGGCTACAAATTACTTTGCTTTGCTTTTTTGTTCCTTCTTGTCTTCCTCTGTTTTATACAACGTTTTTTTCTCAGAGGGAGGGTCCATATATGTCTTTCTTGGCTAGCTGTCAATCATATTAATTCCAGCAAAATTACTTTCCTTAAATTAATCATAGCAGAGATTCCCAAGGCAAAGTAAAGCATGAATGATCCCATGTTTACAAATGAAAGGGCATGTCGCCAGTGTCTAAAAGAACAAATATTAGAAAACAGCATGTTTTGTTCTGAAAAATCCCCTTATTTTACTTTATTCTCTTATGGTTACTAAACATCACTGACACTTTTCCTCATTATGTTTCAGATATTCAATATTTACTATGTACAAATAAAACAGCTATAGTTTTAGTGGGGACTGAGACTTTGATTTCAAGTTCGACAATATTTCCTAGCGCAGAAATTAGGAAAATAGCAATTTGCCAATATTTGAAGAACATTTATATCTCTTAGACCAGTACATAGCTATGGATAGTTAAAACCAGGCATGGATGTTAACCATAACTCATTTGATTTTTGTGATTTACAGAACAGCATTTTGACTGATAATATTTTACAATGTCTCCAGTTTTGCCTTTTTCCTCAGAATAACATCTCTGTAAAGATGTTCTTACAGACTAGAAATACCTTTTGATCTTGTACACTTAACAACTGCATTATAAAGAAACCACATAAAAATTCTTGGCAACTCCTAAAAACAATACACATACACCAGACATCCTGTCTGATGATCTACTGTCTTGGCAGACATCTTGCCATTCATCAAGAGATGCTCTTGACCCGTTTGCCATTCCTGGCAAGGTGAACAGAATTCCCTTTGCAATACTTCTGACCCAATGCTTCAGACAAACCTACAGGAAGTTATTTGAGCACTCTTTTTTCATCCCAGATGGTTTTCAGCTCCGAAATCCATAGGGTTCATTCTCATTGTCATTTTTCGTAAGCTGCCTACATAACGCAGTGAGGTGAATCTCTTCAGGCAGGATGATCTAACGTGCCTTTTCATCTGCCCCAGATATAACGTTTCTTGTTCTTCCTCCAACTTCTGCAAGTAACCAGGAAGGAAGCCAGTAGGCTTATGTCTGGTCTGGATAAACTAGAAGTGATACTGATTAATGAGGAAATAATTCTAGGGTTAGATGAAGTATATAACCTAGCCTTCAAATGAGGACCCTCAGAATCCTACGTAAGACTCCCTCAGTTCTCCCAGGGGGACAGATTACACCCGTTGTCATAAATACGGTTCTTGAAGGGAGCAGGCTGAATACTCCCAGTTGGATATGTTCTTCATCTCAAACAATTACTAAAACAAACTAGTTTCTGAGACTTTTAAGAGAGATTTTTCTGAGATTTTTTTAAGATTCTGTCATTTTTGCTGAGACTTGGTGTCATTGTCACACCTCTCAGTCATCTTGCTCAACAACTGCTATTTTTCTTTTAATATTACCTTACCCAGGTGTGAGTGGTACAGATAGAGACAGTGGTTGGACGCAGCAGAAAGAAACACTGGCTCCTTATCTGACAAACATTTCTTTGACTGACTTGACAGGTATGGCAGGAAGGGAGAAATATTTTTCCTAATAGACTCAAGATCTGTAGCCCTCTCATCAGTAGCACATACTCTTCCCCAGTTCTTTAAAGCAAAATTTGTTCTATGCTTTAAAAAATGGCGTTCTCTTGTTTAATGAAACACTGGAAATGATCCAGACTGAAGCAGATCTCAAAATATGATATTATGCACCATATTGTATTAGACGCTTTGTATTGTTTGTCTGTTTTAAAGATTTCCCTACCTCCACATATAGAGACAATTCTCATTATGCTGTGGGTTCATGTTCTGAACAGGAACTCTCTTTCTGTCCTTCCTGCATTCCCAGCATCCTTCTACTAGGTTCAATAATAGATAAATAAACATTTTAGTTTATGCTCTGATTTTTTTCTTAAGCTGGGAAGATTTCTGTTTCAGAATACCCCATTCTATAAATCAGATAATGTGTATTAAGAAGTTTGTAAATGAGACTCCTGAGACCTTTCCTTTGCCCAAATAAGTGTTGCCACTGCCACTCTCTGGCAATATTTGAATTTCGCTGGGAATAAGATTACACAGTCAGAATACACAAGCTTTCAGAAAATACCTATTTAGAAATATTCTATATGCTCTATTTGAAACAGAAAACTTTCCTATGGCTGACCTGGTGATACAGACGGGGGTATAATTGAATGCTAGCTTTCTTTGCTTGTCTAATACAGCAAGCGTATTGGCATTAGCCCCATCTTCAGGCCACATAAGAGAGAAACTCTTTGCTAACTAGCTAATAAAACATCATGCTTTCTACTTACTAGCAGGCAGGGAAGACAATATCAAGATTTTCTCAAGCATATATACCTCATTAGCTTGCTTTTCATCAGAAGAGAAAAACAATGTTTCACAAGAGTTCACAGACACTCTTAAATCCCCATAAATGTAAAGTCCCATTGCAAAATGAGTCAGGAGTTCTTAAAACATCATCTGAAGACATTTTATTACTAATATTTGGATCACTAGATCCAACTTTGCCAATGTGCAACCAGGTACCTTGAAATGCCACATTTAGGCAACCGTGAATGCTCTAGTCTCTTTTATCTACAAAACTGAAAATCAGCATACTCATTGGAATGGAAGTAAAACAGTAGTAAACTTTGAGAGTTAAGAGTCTTGGGAGTCCACCTACTGATTTTTTTCTTAAGCTGGGAAGATTTCTGTTTCAGAATACCCCATTCTATAAATCAGATAATGTGTATTAAGAAGTTTGTAAATGAGACTCCTGAGACCTTTCCTTTGCCCAAATAAGTGTTGCCACTGCCACTCTCTGGCAATATTTGAATTTCGCTGGGAATAAGATTACACAGTCAGAATACACAAGCTTTCAGAAAATACCTATTTAGAAATATTCTATATGCTCTATTTGAAACAGAAAACTTTCCTATGGCTGACCTGGTGATACAGACGGGGGTATAATTGAATGCTAGCTTTCTTTGCTTGTCTAATACAGCAAGCGTATTGGCATTAGCCCCATCTTCAGGCCACATAAGAGAGAAACTCTTTGCTAACTAGCTAATAAAACATCATGCTTTCTACTTACTAGCAGGCAGGGAAGACAATATCAAGATTTTCTCAAGCATATATACCTCATTAGCTTGCTTTTCATCAGAAGAGAAAAACAATGTTTCACAAGAGTTCACAGACACTCTTAAATCCCCATAAATGTAAAGTCCCATTGCAAAATGAGTCAGGAGTTCTTAAAACATCATCTGAAGACATTTTATTACTAATATTTGGATCACTAGATCCAACTTTGCCAATGTGCAACCAGGTACCTTGAAATGCCACATTTAGGCAACCGTGAATGCTCTAGTCTCTTTTATCTACAAAACTGAAAATCAGCATACTCATTGGAATGGAAGTAAAACAGTAGTAAACTTTGAGAGTTAAGAGTCTTGGGAAGAAGTCCACCTAGACAATTTTTACAATAATAAAATCAGTAGAATAGGAAATCATTAAATAAATGAACAAATATAAATATTAATAATTTTTAAAAAATAATTATACGCACCTGTGAGAAATTTTAATAGCTTTCCTCTAATCCCATTCTAGAGTCCAATTACAGAAAAACAGTTTCTCCCCAGTGAATTTCTTTGAAACAATATCAAGATGAATAAAGTAATAAACCTCAAAGGTACCTTGCAACCAGTTCAAACTAGCATCCATGGTTATAATTTAGTTCTAACTAGACAAAATCATAAGTAACTTTTTATGAAGGAGAACAACATTTCTGAAGGTGTATTATCTCACTTAACACTGTCATTAAAACTCTTGCTTTATATTTAGTGGATAGTATCATAAAGTAATGAATTTGCTGGATTCTGGCAACACTTTTATCCTCTAAACTTAATACTCTAGAACTTGGTCTTTGCAGCTTTTCATAGAATCGTCTCCTCTTCCCTTAGATCTAATGGCAATCATCACTTTTACCTTTGCCTGAAACCAGCCACAAGCTATTTCATGGTAAATACAAATCAATATTAATGACCAAGATTGAGTAGCTTCACCATAGAAGTTAAACCCAGGTAACTAGTTTCCTCAAAAATGCCAAGATCAAATGTTTCTCTTAGAGTTACTAAGCCAATAAATCTAGTTTTACTGCTTCATAAATTTTTACTGAAGTGGGATGGAAGTACAGTTAAGCTACCTCACAACAAAACAAGAGAACTGAGTAAGAAACCTTATTCCAGGTTTCTGATGAAGTTTTCATCCCATCTGGTAAGCAGTAACTGTGTAAGTTTCTGACCGGGGAATGACGTGTGGCCTGAAATGTATCAGCCTTACTTAGCCACAGTAGTTAATGTCTTTGGTGGATATTTAAGCAGAGGTTTATTAAAACTGCACCAAACTGCACCAATGCTGCTAACTGATAGAATTGCTCAGATGTATATAAAGTAAATCTGAACCACAAATCACAGATTCATGCAATGCATTAATCCAACTTGCATCTTAAACTGTGCTATGCCTTCATTTACTACTACAGGTTATACAATATGATTAGTCTGGACCAAAAAAAAGATGGGGGTAGGGGAGATATGTTCTTATCTTAAGCTGGCTAACTCAAGTGAGGTTGAAATATCAATGAAGGACGGTCAACTTCATTTTCACTTAAAATAAGCTATTTAGCTTCAAGTTTGGAAAGGGACCTGAGGCTGAATTTGGCCTGCTAAAATTTAATATGTCTTGTCAGCACTGCCAATATATCCTGAGCTGGTTAGCTTCTTTTAGCCAGCCTAAATGAAAAAACCCTTTTTCAAGCATAGGTATAATATAAAACTATTGCAAATTCCTCATTCCTGCCATCAAACAGCTGTCCTGTTTTAGCTGGGACTTACAACATCACATAGTCTTCAAGTTACCACACAGGTAGAAATAGTTTCACTGAGAAGTATTTCCACAAGGTAGAAGTCACTTCAAGCACATATGATTGCACTAAAAGGAGACTACAAGGTAAACAATATACAAACAGCTTTGACTTTCATTATTTGAAGATCCTATGATACCTAGAAATTATAGGTTTACATTACTGAACAACAGAGATAAACAACACCCTATTCTGAAAGATTGCGAGACATCAAATTTCAAAATTGCAAAATTACACATTGAAAAATTATTTCAAATAATTTTAATAGATTTTTAATATACTGATTCTAGATTTCTTCCTCAACGACCACTACAAATGAGCTCACTGTAATTAGGAATACCTGAGCTGGATTGTTGTCTGTCACAGACATGCACTGAGCTAAGCCCATGTTCCATAAGTCCCAGGAATGAATGGGGAAGATTTGAATGTGACCACATGCCACTGTCCATCCTTGTTATAAACACAGTATTTCAAATTAGGACATTGGAAAGTTGCTCTAGCTTGGTTGTCCAGGTGCCTGCAATTGTAAGGGGCTGGACAATCAGAAACAGACAAGTAAAACCATTCTGTGTTACTGGCAAAACTTCCTTTTGCCTCCAGCAGGAAGCTAGGCACTCTGGTGGTATATATAACGACGGAAAGCTTTTATGCGCAGAAAGCTCTGAGTTACTCAGGCATGGTAGCTTTTTCTGTCAGCTAAGCCTATAGAAAAGAAATGTGATTTATTACTAATTGGTCTACAAATAGGATAGGAATAAAAAAAAGATTATGAAGTCTTCAAACTCTTAACAACTCTAAAAAAGGGCACTTGATAAATATTTATCCTGTGAAGCCAACGCAGATATGATACAAGGAAAAAATACTTATTCTTTTTTGGAAGTTCCACATCTGTCTTTTGTGGATTTCCATTTACTAGTAATGCCAAGACATCTTGTACTTGGTGGTTGTAAGAAAGCTCATCTGAGCATGTGAGATGTTGAACCTTGGTTAAGTCACATGCATATGATCATCTAATTAGGTCTACTGTCTTAGTTTGCTACTTTGATTCTACTGAGACTTCTTTTGTTTATTGGGTTTTTTTTTTGTTTCTTGACTGCACCACTGACACACATTAATTAGCATTCATTTTTTCTAAGAAGCCACACTGGGTAGCAACAGCATTGAATTTAGCAGATGATAACCTAGAAACATCCAGAACATTCTTAGAACATTTAGTTCAGTGAAGTTTAAACATTCATTTGAAGGCCTTTGAACAAAATTCTTTTTTTAATACCCTGTGGTAAGGTCATAGTTTTGGGGAGAAAGAACAAGAATATTCTGCACTAAAAAAACACCAAGCAGCTTTTTGCTTGTTGAAAGACTTAGCTCATTCTGTACTGTCAACTCTTAAAAGGCTACTAATTCTAACCACCAATCTAGACTACTGCATAAAGTACCACATCCCCCTACACAAGCAAATAAATAAACAAATATGTTACCAGGGAAGCAATTTGAAGGAATGGCCAGTGATTTAAAGATCCAAGCATCGCTGTCATGCTATCATAAAATGCTTTAAATGATGGAATTATGTTTCTTTTATGGATCTGGATTTGAACAGATAATGGCACACCTAATAGTTTGTAATGACACTCCTACCTGCCAGTCTCATCTTGATTTTGAAGGTAGCAGTTGATTGTGTTGACTAAAAAGCTAAATAAACGACCATACAGAGATTTTGCCAAGAGATCCCGGTAAAATTCTGCAATCTCTGTAGTGTGCCTCCGTACAATCATGTCTCCTAAGAGAGAAAGCAGAAAATGGAGATGAAAGCATGCTGTAAAGTTCGCCTTAAGTAATTTTAGTTACAATAAGTCCTTCCACCCTTTTTAATTCTGCTTTGCCAACCATATACATGGTGTTAGTTTTTTCCTGAAGCCTTCAGTAAAAGATGAGAAGACTGTCAACACTCACAAGATCTTCAGTTTAGAAACATGTACTTTTTTCAATAGAAAAGGGTATGTGTACCACAGAGAACCCGCATTTTACTGAAAAGAACTTTTCAAAACTTTTTTATTTCCCCAGGACACTCCTGTTGACTTTATTTCTTAGTATTAATATCTAATCTGTTATCCTGACACACTTTTGTAAGATTAATCAAATTAGGAGTCCATCAGCGTCAGTCTGCAAAACGGCTTTGCTCCATTTACAAAGACATTTCTAATTCAGTGGCCCAGTCTGACTTATTGCGTGGCAGATAATCCTACATATTCTTCAGAGAGAAAATTTACAAGACCATACAAGAAATAAGAAACAAAAACTTTTAAAATTCTCAAATCAGAAGGATCAAAATGCCACCAGGTCTGATCTATGAGAATGTAAGCTTGGAAAAGATTACCTTTAAAATACTGAACATCAGTTGTTAAGGCTGAAGCAAGCTCATCTGGTGAAACCTGCAGCATCCCTGCCACTGAAACGAAAAGAGAATTTAAAGAAAGCCTGATTTGTGCTCTACTGCATATTTTATTTTTACACCAGATTTTCTTATGTAGATGCTATTTTTTAATAGTGAAAGAACCCACACATTAAAGAAAAGAGTGCTGTCACAGGAGTAATCAAAATTAATGAACATACAAAGTCGGATTACTATAATCAGCACTTTGTGAAGTTTGAACGTATCTGTATATTACATTACAGCTTCCTTTCCTCTTTAAAGATTACTCAGGATTTTCCCCAGGGCTTGGCAGACTTTCTCTCCTATTAGAGTTAAGGTATGCTACTTATTGACATTCTGTATCCATAAGCCACTTTGAGGAGATTTGTTAGTGACCAAGAGGGCAAACTTCAAAGCATGAAAACAAGAGACCCTTTTAAGACACAGATCTTTGAATGTAAGGAATTCAATTCAATGCAAATTGTTCAGCTGTTGACAAGCAGCACAAGAGTATTTTAAAAGACGACTGCCCAAAGTGCACTGTATAATTTCTTTTGGCAAATGGTAGCATTAAATATGACATTGAATTAGATAATTTGCAATACTAGTATTTTATTTCATCCCATAAAAATCTGTAGTTTATAAAACATCCAAGTCAATTGGATCCTGTCTTCCCACAGTAACTTATGAATTTTCAGAAGTAATTTTTTTTGTCTCCCTGGAACTGTGTTTCCATCTGTCGGTGGATCAGCGCAAGTGGCCTGATCGCGACGCTCCAAAGTCACGTCCTACTGACCTTGTTCCAGTAGCTGCAGGTCTGACACAAATGCTGTCTCAGCGTCTGTCAGAGCCGTAAAGCGAATGTCTCCAAGATGCAGAATTGCTGAGAGAATTACAAACAGGTTCTCCACCTCCTGCACATATTTTATGAAGAATTAAAGATAAAGAAGAGATCTGTTGGGCACACCAGTGAAAGGCTATGCTTTATAAAAATACAAATTCTATATAGTTTGTATCATTGGCATTTACTAAGTTAAAAAGTACTCATGTGTGAACTATTAACAGGAAATTTGGATTTAGAAATCAAACTGGAACCTATCTAGGACATAAAACAAGAAGATTACCTTTTTTTTCTTTTGTTTTAATATAAATCACATTAACTACTGAGTTAAGAAAGTTTTTCAGAATGTGATAAAAAATATTGAAATATCTTCAATGGATGCATTATTTCTGCAAGAAATAAACGTATCTTCTCCATAGAGATTTTCCATCAAGACAAATTCTGTATCTGGGAATAGCAAGGTTTGTTTCTTCCTCAGCCAACTGCAGTCACAAACGAAGTGTCTAGCTCTAAATTATAATAGGTTCCTGGTAGTAAAAGCTGTAGTTAAGGTCTAAAAGAAACAAAAGCAACCCTCCTTACCCACACGCTTTCTTCCCATGATTGCATCCTATGTTCTGATGCCTCTAAGGCTGTGAAACAGTTATCTTTAGGGCTAGGTTATTCCTGGCCTCATTTTTACCACAGCAAGAAGAGAACTAATGTTCTTGTTTGCTTTTTTTAAATGTTTTTAAATTCAAGCAAAAAAATGATCCATGAAATATGAACCAAAAATGCTAGGACATGGAAAACATTGTGTGTTTTTGGATGGGTTTTTAAGGTCAGTTATATAACAATGGTGCTCCTTTAAAATTATAAAACGGGAAACCTGATATCATCCAACCAAGCTTGGATGACTTTTCATCAGTTTTCAAAAGCAACAGGTCAAAAAAAAAAAGATTTTCTTCTTCTTCTTGTTCCTTTCACTAATAAATATGCCCATCATCAGAGGACATTAAAAAAAGCTTACAGTCTTTCTGGGATACAGACTACAGCACCTCTGATGCTGTTTAAGCAAGTCGGATTCTCTAGACTATGTCTTAAGAGAAGAACTTCAAGCTCTTACTGTATGAGATAGATGTAAATAGGGCAACAGTATATTTTTCTGTTACACAGTACCAAAGCTGAAGATTAAAAAAAGCAATATATACAGGCGAAGTCTGAATAAGGTAGCTCTTAAAAGAGAAGAACTGTCATACTAATATGGCATTTAAGCTAGGGTGCTACACCCTGCTTCTTGGGAAGGCCTCTCAGGCAAGATGGAATGGCACTCTAGTACACCATACTTCCTGCTTGTTTGTTAGCTTGTTCAGAACTGGTTTGGGGACGACTGCACAGCACTGAATCGCGGCAAGCTGTTTATTCAGGTGATTTTGGTAGGGCCTTGGGTTTAGTTCACGTTCCAGATTCTCAAACACTTTCTCTTTGTGCTCTAAAATGCATGTTCCCTCAACTTTAAAACAATTTTTTAATAAACGTTAACGTACATTGCAAGATACCATTAAAGACTGCTAAGGAATGTTTATATAGTTCTTCAAAAAGATAATCTATCATTCAATGTGGCTAGATGGTCAAGGAATAATACATACAGACCTTTCCATGTACCTCAGAAGTAATGGGTAGACATTTTAGGAGATGTGTTTTATCTACATATTCCCCTCTAGCCTCCAGCACAGGAGATCAGCCTGCAGGACTCTGGAGCCCCACAGATTTCTAGCCTCCTAAATGATTATTCTAACGCTGCCCTGGATATAGAGGAGCCTTGAAGATGGTTTACGCTTTTCTGAGAGGCAACTTACTTCCTTTCAAGAACTCTGAGCAAAGTGAAGCTGAAGTGCTGGATCCAAAAGAATATGTATTTTTCTACATCAAGTGTTCTCAGACTGTTTCTGCAGGCTTCTAAAATGTGATTCATTACACATTCAACTATTTATTTATGGGCTGAACCCCTTCCTCAACAGAACAAAAAGGTTAATAGAGAGATCCACCCATCCGTGAACGCTGGGCTAAATGCAGAACTGCCTGGAACTTTTGCTGCTGAAGTCTACAGGTGCAGAGCTTGAGTCATTAAGAGTAAGGAATAATTCTGTCAAATACAGCCATATGTGTTCAATTTTGTACATGGCCACATGAATATTCATGAAAAAAACCCCACTCTTTATATTGAAAGGTGGCATAGGTTACCAAAGAACATTTGTTACTACCTTAACTAGAGAATGCCAAACAACTACGTGATGTACCATCACCACAGAAGTGTAGCTCACACCTAGATAACAGCTTCAGCAGATTCACAATTTTTTTTGCTGATAGCCCTTGATCCCTTTTTATTACAACTGTTGCCCATCTGTCATCTCTTATGATAACCTAGCATACTGTCACATTATCTTTTCCTCTGCTTTTTTCTTATGACACTAAATATCATGTAGGGGTAAAGAAGTTTTTACCTCCTTCTAGAACTACTGTTGCTTATGCATTTGTTTTGCAGAAGTGTCCCAGCTACAGTGTGCTAGGTAGCATATACATATGTAAGAAATATGGAGTTTGTTAAATATTCTAGTATCCTGAAGGGCATTACACAGCTTACGTGAGTTCTTATACTCAGCCCTCCATTTCTCCTGAATCCCCTCAAACCTCTGTCCTCCAGAACCTCTTCTTGATTAATTTTCCAAATTATCTTCTTCGTTAGCTTTATAGGATTAAAGACAAACACGAGACCTATCTTCTTGTTGCTTTTTTGGGGTTAAGTCAGCTCTTTCAAGTTACCCAGCTCTAATTTTGTTTGACTAAATATGTATTTACTTTTTTTCAGGTGCTGCTAGCAAAGGCATTTGGAATGTGTGTTTCACAAAATTAAAAGGGACAGGGAGATAATCAAGAAGAGGAAAAAATTCCTCTGGGTTTTATGAGGTTTCTGTCATATGGGATTTGATTGTTTCTTTTTATCTATATAATTTAATTGTTCAGAGTATTATACCTTGAAGCTGTTTTGTGAATCTTTAAGAATGAAAAAGATTTACATTGTTGGTGCCATGTCTAATTAAAAGTGATTACAGTAATTTCCCTGGAGTGAACTAGTACTGTATATTGTTTCAAGGTCTTAACCAACAGAAAAAAAGAAATACAGAAAGGCACTTCTTTTCCCCACAAAAGGTTATCAGTGAGAGTTCCTTATGGCCTGCTTTTAACTAAGTAATATGGTGATTTTAGCCACAAATAACATAAGCTTGTGTAACTTACCAGGCTATTGAATCCCATAGCACCTAGAGCTTGTTTTAGTACGGCTAATTTCTCCCTGTTTTGAGGGTTGGCTGTTAACATCGTCTCTTCCAGTACAGTCTGGCTTAGATACCTGCACAGAGGAAAAACAGCATATATAGTATTTACAAGGCTGGTGCACAATCAAACTTTTGAGGTTGAAAGCCAGCTTCGCCCTTCTAACCAGAAGTTTATTACAGAGTTTTCTCAGCCTTTGGAGGGAACAGTAGCAGTGACAGAATGCTCTGTATTTCTTTCCATAAGCATTTGCTTAAGGCTACCTCCCACCAACTTTAGCCCTACATGTAAGCTAAAACTTCAGATTTAATTTATACCACTGAGAGTTTTGCCATTCCTGCACTACCAGAGATTCCCCTTCAGAAGGAAGATGTGAGGAGATCCTCTGATAACTCTGACTGCTTTAAATTCCCCTCCTGCTGGCTAGAGAATAGATCAGCTCTTTTCTGCCTGATCCCATGATGATCGTTCGCTCCCTTAGCAGCTGAATGGGTGACAGGTATACTCTTAGAACAAAGTAGTAACTAAGTACATAGAGCAGTAAGTGTACAGCCCTTAAGCTGTACTACTTTGCACACTGTGAAGCAAAAGGACATTTTACAAACCTTCCCAAAAATAATGATTAGAAGAGAGAAAGAGAGACACCTAGTGCAGCAGCTAACTCAGGAAAGAAAAAATAGAACCAACATGAAGAGTAGTAACACAAAACAGAATAATCAGAAACTATAGTACAACGGACTATTGAAAAGAACAGCAATCTAACCTCTACAACAATGAATTTTGACGCTCTCAATATATGTCTATGGGCCAGATTTTTAAAAGTATTCAGGTATCTTCATACAGGTGAAATCACTAGGAATGAGGTATCTGAATATCTTATGGGATCTGATTTTTAATTACATCATGCTGAGAATGTAAAAAGATGTTTTCTTTTATCATTATCATTAAAATACACATCATCACACAATCTACAATCTTCACAAACGTCACTTACATCAACAAAAGAATTCCCCACACCTAAATCAAAATAATATCATCACAACACCAACAAAGGTGGACAATTTACACACACTCCAGCCCTCATCCCTTCACCACAATTACAACAACCGAAATTCCCCACAATTATTCTGCTCTCTAATAATGTTCAGTCCATGATCTGTCACATAAAGATGGGAAACAATACTGGTTTAATTTCTGGCAATTCTTGTTCACAATCCTATTCTGATTGCACTATAGAGGAGACACGGTTTCAAAGTAAAACTCCCATTACCACAGAAAGTCTGGCAACGCTCTAGTAAGGGTGGTAGCTCTTGTAAGGGTGGCCTTTTATGTGAATATGTGTAGCTTTTAGAAACACGTGCACTTTTCTAACTGATAATGAGGTTTATGAGGTATACGCGGTGAAATGCAGAGCGCATTTTTAGTGGATTGATACCAGATTTACCAGTGTGGATTACCCTTGGTGTAAGTTACCCCAGCAGGTGAGCACTGGAAGAACAATGGGGAAAAAAACATGTGCCTGGGTGCATAAGCACTTTTTCCACCCACAGGAGAACCCAGTCAGCAGATATATCAAGCACAAACAAGCCTCAAATCACAGTGGCTAAAGCCGGTGAATTAACACAACCTTTGATAACGTGGGTCTGCCCCCCCCCCCCGCCAGTGCTCTGCACCGTTTCCTTGAGGTTACTAAAAACATTAATTTTGTCCAAATCAGGTAGAAACAAATGCTAGCACAGCTGTCAAATTAGCTAGAGCAGATCACACAAAGTATATGCCAGATTTATGTTTTTTTCTGGGGTTTTTTACATTGCCTGTATGTTTCAAAAGGAGGCTAGAATACATCTGATACTGAATCTGGCATAGAACCTACTGGTATAAAGGTTAATCCAGCACATTTTCCACTGTCCCGAACTGCTGTGCGAGTTCAGTGTTGTGCATCATGTGTCGGTGGCATTTTTGGTCCATAATTAGGAGATTTACAGCAGCATCTACTCTGCTGTCAAAATATCCTATTGTTGAACGGCTGGAGGAGTTGGAAGCTTATGGCGATTTCTGCAAAAAAGCCTCCTCACTGGTGTTCTCCCTGAATAACTCTTCGTCTCTCTCTCTGGGTACTGAGCAGGGAATACTCTTTCCTGTCCTGTGAAGGGAATATCATATACTTCTCTTATTTAAGCAACCCCATTTAATTAGCTCTTTTTAGCATAGTTAAAGTGCTAGTGGGTATCATCCTAACAAAAAGGTGTGTGAACACTAGCAACACAGGTAGTGGCATAGCAAAGTGACCCAGAACGCTCATTCCCTTGGAGGAAAGAGCTGAGCTGTGATATGAACCAACACGCGGCAGTTCTTGCCTTCAGCGCAAGCACTTCTTGCTGATACAGCAGGGGGCAAACTGGGTACCTGCCAACCCAGATGCCTGTGGCTCCAACAACCCATCCATAAACTGCAGCATCTGCTGGGACATGCCTTTTGGAAGAGAATCTGACTTTCCCAGTATAAATCTCCTGAAGATTTAATCAGCAGATGTGCTGGTGCCCTTGGAGAGGGCTACAGTTGGACATTTTCTAAGGGGCGCTTGAATTTAGAATCGGTTTCCCCAGTCTGAAAGCAATTAAATTCTTTTATAAGATGTCATGAGGCCCACTCATTTTCCAAACTATTTAAGGACTAATGAAATATGAAAATTGTTTTGAACATATGCACATTGAACTGTTATATGTTTATAATATAAAGTATATGCATATTAAGGATGGATTAATTGTAGAGACTACTTGGAACTGTTGATGTATATCATACAACTCCCCCAAAATGTAGAAAATATACAGTGTAGCAGAGCGGGGCTGCAATATATACTAGCTGTACAAGGAATCACGTTCTTCTGATTATTAAGTTCATTCTACCTCAGAAACATAGTGACATTTAGATAGAAATATAAACAAATTTTTTTGCTTGTAAAACAGTTCCCTGGCATATCCTTCTTCCCACCTTAAAGGCCCTGAGGATGAAAAGGGCTTGAGACACCCTTTGTATTAATATTACTACTATCACCTATTTATGCCTAAGAACCAGAGTCCAGAACCAATTTTAAATTGTCGCCTCTCCTACAAAAATAAGAAAAGGGGAAAGAGATGTGTCGCAGTGCAAAAGTCCTAATAATAATGAAACATTCTTTCATTGCAGATACATCATTATTCTATAAAATGTAAACATTTTTTCAATATGTATAGCTTTCCTCATTTTTGTCTTTTGACATTCAAGTGGCCTGGATAGAATTGCGTTGCTAGTGATGAAGAGGGATTAAACTGATTAAAATTTCCATTGTGAACCTACCATGGAGCTTTAGTTATTATTTTTACTTAGATTTTTGTTATTGCAAAGTATAGTGTTATAGCCATGATAATTATGAAAACCTATGCTGTTACTAGAGTTCCTATATGAACTACTGTATGTTCCTATAAGTTTCTAACAGTGCAGTTTGTGTTCAAATGCAAACCAGACATGGTGACTCCTGAATTCTTTGTTGCTGAAAATTTTAGTAAAAGAGGTACTACTGCTATACAAGCCAGAGGTGATGTTCCATAATATCCGATGCCTGCAGGCTGCGCACCAGTTGCGGACTTATCATAGTTTTATTAGCCTTACGTGCATAGCTCTGCGTGCAAATTAATTCTGCAAATGCACATTCACATTAGCTTACTGTAGCTTTAGAAAAAGATTCTCAGATTTTGGCTCAAGTTGAGCCTTTTAGTTGAAGGTAGCTGCTCAGACAAATGATATTTGTATCTCTAGTAAAAGTGATGAACCAAACAGTGTATGCTGTTCTAATAATTAACTCCTTTCTACTGACTATCTAACCACTTGTTTAAATGCTACCATGTCGACATTTGCATCGGACTAGTACTCTCGACAGACAGCTTATCAGCATACAAAAAAGTTTTAAGGACATGTGATCAGTGACTGTTTCTTTCAAAAAAGAAGAAACTTACTGATCCACAAAACAGGGTTCTTTTAAGATGATAAACTAATCAAAAATTGTAGTAGAGTATAGTCACTTTGAGTAAAACATAATGCTGCATTAGACAGACAATTTCTTGAAAAATGTAAAAGAGACTATCTACATAGTTTTTTCTTTCTGATTTTTCTTCCAACAGTTCTAATTTGCAGCATTGTAGCATTCTCATCTATTCTAGTCTCTCAAAGGAAAAAAAAAAAGACTATTTAGAAGAAAAAAATCAATGGTGATAATTTTTCAGTATATTGCTTATCATAGTATACAATTTTTCAACCATCATTCGAATGACACAATAGGTCAAATTTTCAGATAGGGGTGTGACTGGTGTGCCCAAGAATATAAAAAAAATACTTACTATGTGTGCTGGTTTTGGCTGGGGTAGAGTTCATTTTCTTCATAGTAGCTAGTATGGGGCTGTGTTTTGGACTTGTGCTGAAAACAGTGTTGATAACACAGGGATGTTTTAGCTATGGCTGAGCAGTGCTTACACAGAGTCAAGGCCTTTTCTGCTTCTCACCCCACCCCACCAGCGAGTAGGCTGGGGGTGTATGAGAAGTTACGCATGATGGAGCCCTGCTTTCCTGGAGATGGCTGAACACCTGCCTGCCCATGGGAAGTAGTGAATGGATTCCTTCTTTTGCTTTGCCTGCGTGCGTGGCTTTTGCTTTACTTATTAAACTGTCTTTATCTCAACCCATGAGTTTTCTCAGTTTTACTCTTCTGACTCTCTCCCCCATCCCACCAGGGGGAGTGAGCAAGCGGCTGTGTGGTGCTTAGTTGCTGGCTGGAGTTAAACCACGACACTATGACATTACGTTCTTTATGTATTAACTGCCCATATAAGTCAACAATTACCTTACCTGTTTACCTTATCATTCTCATTATAATTGTTACATATAATCATAATTTGTATCATCCAACTTATACTTGCAGTAAAGTTTGTAATTTCATACACACATCTCAAATATGAAGAAGAAATACATGGGAACAAATGTCAGCCTACCAATACTGAGTTTTTGTGACATATGCATATTTCAAAACTTCTTACATAACGCTAC